TCCTGGCCGCCCTGACGACGCTGTTCCCACGTCCCACCGCCGCGCCTCCACTCCGAAGTACCCAAGTCAAGGCCATGCCGGCGTGTCGACCATCGGGTCTCTCATATCACCGTTGACGGAACACCAGCGGCAAAAGGACCTCAGTACTTCGGCGCACGCATGTTTGCTAGCATCGTCGTTTCAGTTCCGCAGCCTTTCTTGCTTGATTTGACCTTGCTGTGTGTTCAGTTGCCATGCAGTTGTCAGTCGAGTTTGTGAACAACCTGGTGGCGGTACTAAATGTCCTTGCATCCCAAGTAGCGACAGCTCTGGACACCCTGAACTTTGCCCTGATGACCGAGCGAAGCCATCACTCAGACACTAGACTTTCTCCCGGAACTCCAGGCACGGGCTGCGCCCTCGCATCATCACAGAGCGCATTTCGTCTGATCGATCCCGCTCGCCTACTCGAATTCGAACCCGACCTCTGGACACTTCATCCACCTGGTATATACGGTCCTTATCCCCGCCTCGCGCGGCACATCGGGATGCCGCTGACAGCAATTCTGGTCGTCGTCCTGAGTCGATGTTGGATCGCCTGCCACCACCACGGCCTCTTGCTTCCCAGCCCCCACACAGCGGGCGCGAACCAGGACAGACAACGCCTACGACACCTGACTCGGATTCTGATGGTTCAGTCCGTCCACATCCAGGTGCATCGTCGTTCCGCCCGTCTCCTACGGCGGTTCATGGACCTCGGGAACTTCTACAAGAATTCACCATTGCCCTTCGCAATGCGCACCTTGAACCTTTCACGGCATGGACACAGAGTGAGCTGGATGAGATGGTTCGACGGAAGAAAGACAAGGATTCCAGGCCCACCTACAAAACCATTGCTCGGTTCCTTCAGAAGCCCATTGAGGAAGTCAAGCAGGCCTGGAAGGTCTATCAGCAACTTGAGGCTCGCGGCTAGGAAGCCGTGCATCAAACGAGCCATTGACCACTGGAGGACTAACTCGCAGGGCGTGGCGGTGCGGTCGGGGAGCGCTGCAGGTTGTTGTGATGGTTGGGATTGTAGTCATGGCTGATCACATGAATTTTGCTTGCTTGCACTTGCCTGACATTTTGACCAGTGAAATACTGTTTGCTGTTGTGGGTGTTGCTGCTGACTTGGACTGAATGCATGGCTGAGCTGCTCAAATCATGTCGGAACAAGACGTGCAGACATACATTACTTGGACCCATGGAGCGCAGCCGACGTGGTTACAGTTTCACGGACCTGGTACCTTGCTTGACAGACCAATTCGGCAGACTACGTCACCTCCGCCCCCACCAAGATTTCCAATACTTCTTCCACCTCCGCCACCGCCACCACCACCGGTGATTCTACACCCACAGTTTATGCCCTCAGTGCGTACCCCCTCGAACTCAGCTCCTCGAGGACAATCCTGCCCTGCCACATCGAAATCGCAGCGCACACGCCGCTCGATTTACAGCACTGACCATTCCCGTGATGAAGATCTACGCAGTCCTGGGCGTTCCTCGAAACGCTCTCGAACAGCATCCGCTTCTGCACCGCGGAGATCTCGGCGACCCTTCACCGTGTTTCCCTCCAAACGAGCCACCCGTCCATCGCTGTCCCCATCGGCAAATTGCAAGCATTACTGTCATGCCTTCCTACGCCATGGTCGGAAATGTCTTTCTCCATGTGCTCGTAGACGACCAGGACATTATCATTGCAGGTGTGTACGGCATCAGCGGCGGTGAAGCGTAGGTGTCGTATATTACAAACCTCGCTGCTGTGTCTCACTTTCAGTTTGAAAAGTTGCCTTGCGTTGCCTCGGTTAACACTCTTGCTGTGTGTGGTTGTCATTGCTTTAGTGTCTTCGCCGCAGATTTTCGAGTGCGTTCAGCCACAACCTGTCTTGCCGCTATGAATCCTCACTATTTCGAGTACCAGATCGTGAGAGGAGTGGAATGGATTCGGATTTACACACCGGGCACGTGGTGGCCCGTTCCCAAGCTATAGTGCACGCCCCAATCTACGCTTCCACGTGTCGGGAGTGGCGCAGGTCATATCGCTTCCAAGTGTACTGGTCAGAAGACAGCACCGGAGGAACAACAGTGGACCCCATCGTCACGCCCAGTTCGTATGTGTCCTACCACGTGTGGGAGTACCGCGACTGGCAAACACGAGGGTGTCAACGTCTTGGAGCTCCTGTACCAGCCATTGGATCTGCGACGCTCGTGAATGCAGACGCTAATTCCTCGGTGGACTCATCTGTTCCGGATGGGGCGTGGCGGGAACCTTCACCACCACCATTCTATGATCCTTGGAACGATTCGGAGTGATACTTGGGTAGCAAGTCGGATAAAATGACGCGGTTGTCCCTGTGTTGAGTGCGATTCCATGTTGGGTTGTCTTGCTTTGTGTTGTGCGTTCCGTCTCCATGTGTTCGCCGCTTTCCTTTATGACTTCGAGCGGCTTGCCTGGTTGATATGTTCAATTCTACAATGTATGGCGCTGCACGATGGGCCCTGCCACACTACTTTGACTACGACATCGTCAATGGACCCGCGAACACAAGCGTTGAGTGGATTCGGATCTATGTACCGGGTCCGTGGCATCCAGTCGCCGAAAACACCTTGGGGCCTGCCCCGGAGGACTCAACCACCTATCGGGAGTGGCGCAAAGTATACCACTTCGAAGTGTATTGGCCGAGGGAGAGCACGGGCGGCACCAATATGGGTGCTGTTTCTCAGCCGGTCTCTTATGCATCCTTCTATACTTGGCATTATCGGGACTGGGCCACCAGAGGATATCAACGGCTGGGTCGTCCACACCCTAGCATTGCGCGTCCAGTTTTTGCTTCGGGCTCACCGGACCTCATGTACGCTGGACTGACCTCTTCGTCGGCATCTTCAAACTCAGATGGTGGCTGATGCTCGTCCTCGTCTTCCTGGGGGGTCTATTCAATTCAATTCGATTCAGGAGATGGACTTCAACACCTGGGCCGTGCATTGCTGCAAAAGTGATTGCTTGCGTGGTTGTTGTTGTGTCTCTTGCAGTAACTGTTGTCTGCAGCCGTACACCTATCAATCTGTCTTCCCGGGTTTGAATTGTCATGCCGTGGCTGGAATGGTGTCCGGATCCTCAACAACCAGATGCCCAGTGGGTCAAGATCTTTCATCCGGGATCATGGACTCCACATGAAGACCATGATGCACCACCTCCGCCTCACACATACAGAGAGTGGAAGGAGTTCTATGTCCCAATGACAGCATGTGGTACAAAAGAGACTGGGCTACAGAGGGCTATCGGAGAGTCGCTGCCCCTCAAGCTGGTCATGACTTTGATTCGATGTCTTTTCCTGATCACCACAACGTGGCCACGCAATCCGCGGCATTGAGTATGTCACCGCAGATGTTGGAAGCGATTCTTAGATCCTCGGATGCGGCGGCTTTCTCCACTGAAGATCTGACTCGTCTCCAAGAGGGGATCTCTCAACAACTGTCAGATCGCGCACGTCACGCTTCCCACCAACACCAACCTGTACGTGCATCTCGTGGAATTGCACCACCGGAGACTGTTGGGGTCTCTGACCCATACCGGCCTGTGAATCCATCAGGCTGCACCACCGCGAAGGTCAAACCTATCTTCGAGCTAAATGATGACTAGACTCACGCGTGTTGGGCAGAATACAAAAAGGGGTGGTTTTCATACTTGCACTACCTTGCTTGGTTGATGCTTGTGCATGGTTGTGCATGGTGCCTGTTTCTTTACTAGCTGGATCTGAACCCGCGATGCGCCCTGCCTCTTACTTCGACATGGACATCGAGGATGCGAAGCTGCACCCATGGCTCGAATACTCGGTCTGGCAGGATCAGGAGTGGGTGCGGATCTATACTCCAGGACAGCCTCAGCGGTGGCACCACGGAGACACTGTACCTGATCTACCAGACAATTCTTTTCGGGAGTGGCAGCGGGTAACTGATCCCAGTGGGCGTACTGGTGAAAACGGTCAGGCATGGACCATTCGCGACTGGCAGCATCAAGGATACCAACGCATTCTGTCTCGAAGGAAGTCCTTCACTACACATCATTCCCATGATCAATCACTTGGAGATGTTCAGAATTCCGATGCCATTCCTGTTGAGGAAACGTTCACCTATGCCACTCCTATTTCTGATGGTGATCGCTCGACTGCTTCGCAATTCGCTTCAGTCCTCCATGGCGACACTCGCAATGCTCATCGTGGTGATCTCTCGTTCCCGTCTTCTGAGCGGTTTAGGGCTGTTTCGCGTTCCCCTCGCCGCGGTGGATATTTTGGTCAACGATAGGAACACGAAGTTGAGCATGTGATCTTCCTGCAGAAAAGGAGACTCACTCCTCGCCCCTCATTGAGGGGCGTGTGTGTGCGGAGTGACAGAATACCCTGTCACCACCTTGGGCCGTTTTCGGAAGCAGGGGGCACGGCAGCTCATTCTCTAGCCGTGCCAACGAAGCTGTGAGAATGAGCCGGAAGGGAGTTTGGACGCAAACTCCTGTACCTGCAAGTGATTCTGAAAGTCCTTTTGGCCCCCTTGGTTGCGGCGCTGTTTGTGCTTCTTGTTCTTTCGGGTAACGTGTTCGCTGCTACACGGAAGCCAAGTGACTGCAAGCCGAACCCACTCGAGACTCATCAGTTGTACTCGAGACTCATCAGTTGTACTCGAAAGATTAGCACTCTCCATTTGGAGTTCAAGTGTGTGTGTTTTTTGGGAACCGCCCTTCTGCTTGGTTTGTCTTCTGGGGAAGATCAAAAGGAAAGCCATGTTGCGGGCTCCTATTTTGACACATCTGAGCCATGGTCAAAAACTCCAGAATACGGCCTGTGGCCATGGCTGTCTGATTGAATTTATTTAAACAAAAAAAAATGGTTGAGGCTCCTCACTCCTGGATGCCTTACTGGTGACCCCAAGAGGACCCGGTCCTTTGACCGCGGCACGAAATGGTCCCCTCTGGACTTGGGCTTCCAGGCAGCGCCTCGGAGCCGGCCTCCGCGTACTGCCCCGCGCCGTACCTGAGACCGGTTCGCCCGGCGAACCCGCAAACCCCTGGGCCCTGGCTTAATATATATATATATATATACACGTATGTATATGCATATATATATATATGTATGTATATGTATGAATCTCATAAGCTGTGAGCCTCAGAAGCGAACAATTATGCAGAAGAAGAAAAAAAAGAGCCAGGGTCAGAAATGGCAAACGTTTTCCCTATAGGCCTACAGGTTGTGGGAATGGTCTAAGTGCCTGAGAATTGGCGGCAAACTTGGAGCTCGTCCCCCCACATCCTTCCCATCACCATAGGCTGCTGGAAATTTGACCGATCTCGAATGAGAAGCATGACTGATTGAGCCATCCGCAAGGCTTTCTTTGTGGCAATCAAACGGCATCCCGTTCTTGTCCCCAACTGCATTTTGTCCCTTGTCGAACCCCATTGCAATGGGTGTCATGCACAAGCCTTGGTTTATTGCCTGACGCGCCGTAATGTATGATGCCCCGTCACTCATCAAGAAGCTGAATGAAAAGGCCCTGAATGGGCTGTCATAAGCTTGGCAAAACAGCACTCCAAGAAGACAGGCAGGAATTGCCGTCTGAAGTGCTCGGACACTGCTGTCTCAAAGCTGGACACCAAGCAACACGACAACCAGCGACAGCTCTATGACCACGCCTCTCCAACAAGTCCTGGTGCTTCTGGATTGCACCGAAGCGCACGCCTCAGCAAAACCCGCGCCTGGTTCCCTGGTCGCACACTCAGCAACATAGTGGTGGAGTTGGGAGTTTGTGGTTGCGCCATAGTTGGCATGATGTTGATTTGAGGACATCATCGGCATGGGGTCTTCTCCATTGAATTCATAGCCAGACATGCACAACTTAATGCCCATGCCGAGCTTCCCCTGGCCGCGGCATCTCAGGGCTCTGCGTCGCTCGGAATCCCGAGCATACACAAAGTTCACCGTGGCGTCGCAAAGGTTGCACACCTTAGAGCGTGACAGGGCAGCGAATGGACAGCACAATGTCCTGAAATGTAAGTTGTCAAACGTGAGGCGGATTTGTTGCGAATAGGCATTGAAGCTACCGCAATCGAACTGCAGCCACTTGCCACCTCGCGTCCAGTCATCTGCGGGGCAGAAAATGCAATGGCCAGGCAAAGGAAATGATGGGTGTCCTTGTCGTCTTGGGCTTAACCAAGCGCAAGTGGCAAACACTTGGGCTGCTTGGAAAAAAATGACACACACACACACACAGACAGACACCACTCATGTAGTTCGAGGAAGAATTTGCGAAGCCAGGCGCTGGAATGTGTCAGTGCATGCGGAGGGGAGCCAAAATCAGCGTGTCTCCACCTATCAACCCAGCATTGATCCATAAGAAAGTGCCCATATAATTGGGACGGAAAAGAGCATGTTCAACGCATCGGTTGGACAAATGAGAAAGCAAATCTCTCCCGGCATCTGAGCAGATTTGGGTGAAGTCAACAGAGAAGTCAACCTGAAACTACCCTCTTCATATAAATTTCCCATATAGGGCAACGCATAATCCACAAAACCCAAAGTCAGGAATCCCATGGAAGGACGGCAGCACCTGAGGCCATCGCCCCATCGAAGAAGAGCCAAGTTTCAGCCTGGGCGCCCGTCCGACAGGTGCGAGCAACAAAAGGGGCCCGAGCTTTGGGGCAAACATCAGGCAAGCTTCAGCACCATGATGTCCGTGGACAAGAACCAGCCCAGAACTTATGCTCGGCACAAGGACCATTCATCAACATGAGAAGTCGCTATCACGCATACAATTCGAACCTCAGCCGCACCCTTCTACTGCCATGTCTCCATGGTTTGAGAGCACGCCTCTTTTCCCCGGAGCGCATTGTCATTTGAATGAGCTGCTCGAAGGTCACAAAGTTTGCGCCCTTTCCAAGCTGCTGGAAGAGGGCCAAAGCGACGGGCCATTGCGAGGCTTGCGAGCCTCGCTGACAGCCCTTGCGTTCCCAAAGGTCCAGCAATAACACAGCTGTCACAGCCCTGTTTGGTTCACCAAAAAGCAAACATCCGGCCAGTGACCTGAAAAGCGCTTATTCAACCACGAGCTGAGCCAACAATCCGCATCTGCGTTTGCAAACAATTATTGGCTTCCCATTTCACCAAACAGAGAAAGCCCGACATTGATCTGGGCAAAAAAAAAAAAATCGCCAACTTGAATTCAGGAATCCCTAATGGACCTTCATCATGGGCGTTGGCTCGTTCTTACACCTGGATCAATGAGCTTGTGGTAATTCGTCCAAATGGAATGAAACAACCAACTGCTCGATGTGGTGTTGCTTGTTTGGCAAACGCAATCAAACACAAAGCAACAACAGCCCTTGGGTGCAAAACAAACGAACCAAAACACCCCGGGCCGATTCTCCGGCGAGGTGCAGGCCATGATGGCCGCGTTGAAGGCCGCGGGCGCCTCGGTGAACTGTAGCAGATCCACCGACCGCCGCCACTGGGCCGCAAGGCCGCAGGCGGCGATCGCGGTGGGGTAGGTCATCTTGCTGGCCTCGAGATGCATGCCCGTAGGTGTCCTTTTGGGGGAAATAGATGGCCCTGGTAGATGAGTAAACCACCTGGTGCATCAGGGCCATCTATTCTTTTGCCAAAACAACCAAAAAGGACACCTATGCGCATGCGCCTTTGTGTTTTGCTTCAGAAACAGATCAGCGGTTGTGTTCAGCAGGGGAAGGTCCTATCTGTATGACCGTCACTGGCCGTTTGTAGAGGATGTTGGGAAGGAAAAAGAGATGATTAGGCAATCTCGTCTGGTCGCAGGTCATCATGGTTGCGTCAAATGGGAAAGAATGCCCGATGAAGAGCAATCAAAACAGTGATTGATAGTAGACTAGTTGCAGAACGCTGACCAAACTACATCGAAGTCGATAAGTCCAATCATGTTCCCAACAGTATCGATCTGCCAATGTCATTTCCCGAAACCGGATCTTCGGCCTGAATCTGCCAGGAACCCTTCCGAGGGCAGCCCAAAAAATCGGATTGGCCAAGACCCCTTAGCTGACGCTGCGGCGGAGAAATTCAACAAAGCAGGTGTTGTAGCAGCTCTGTTGGCAAGAGAATGGCTACGAAACAAATGCATGGCAGGCAACGCCAATCCCAAAAGACACCACTCCCTCCAAGATGGGGTGATGCATCATCGTGCATGTGCCTCTTTCAAGTTATGAACGCGATACAAAGCCATGACACACACACACACACAAGACATGTGAACAGCTCTGCAAGACTCTACAATCCTTCTCTTTGGCACATGTCATCTACAGGTGATCGTCCCACGTGCCCTAAAATGGTTTGAAAGCTCATCAAGCAAAAAAAGGTTTCAGGATGACAATAGAGCAGACTGCCCACCACTGCCGGCAAGAAGTACGGGCAGCACTCAGGTGGCATGTCCGACTGACAATTGCTCATCCAACCAAAGCAGAACCACCCAATTCTCACATTCTCATGAACAACACAGTCAAGAAACATGGGGGCCTTATTGTCGCGAATGCTGCAAATCTGCAGGGGTCCCAAGGTTTCATCCGTTCGTTGAAAGCCAACCAAGCGATTCAGATTCCCGGACCCAAAGCCCGGAACCTGCAAAGACTCCTCATGCAACTCTGCCAGCAGCATCAGCACAAGCTGCCAGTGGAACCTGGTCTCCGCTTCTGGAGGGAGGCTTGACATTTGTGTTTCACACGCATCACAGACTTGCCTTGCAGTCTTGAAGGCATGTGATTATCAACCTTAGAATCGAATGTGTTTGGAAAATCACAAGGCCGGTGAAGCAGGGACAAAGACAAATGCAGAGGCAGAGAGAGAGAGAGAGAGAGACAGACAAAGAGCGTGGTTGCAAATCAGAATCGAACAGGCCATACTTCATGCCAGATTCAGTCCGCCCAAAACAGCCAAACAGGTTTCCAAGATGCCTTCAGCCCCTTCCGCAAAGATCTCAAAGCTTTTTACCGACAAATCAATCAAAGTATGCAAAAGGTTTGTCTGCCTCATGCGATGCCAGCGCATTTGCTTCCATATATATATATATATATATATATATATATATATCCACGGCCAAAGCACTCGCAGGCGCTCATCCCAGCATTGAAGGTGATCACATCTTTCCGCAGCGCTCGCGAGTTCATCTCCTCCATCAGCTGCAAGGCCCATGCCCACTGCTCGCCCTCGCATGCACGGATCGCAGCATTGTAGGAGACCAAGTCCGCACTGTGCGAGTCTCCGAGGCCTGTCAATCTGAGAGAAGATGTCTGAGGCACGACTTCAAGGGCTCAAAGGGTTTAAAGCCCAAAAGCCTCTAATGGTTCAAAGCCCGTTGTTCATGCACTAACGTGGAAGTCCCTTCTCGCGTCTCAGTTTGGCGTCCCATTCTGAGTTTGGCCTTGCCTGCCAGGAGAAAAAGAGCCCATTCCCATTGTGCGACCTTGCCGCAGGCGCTGATGGCGGCATTGTAGCTGATGACGTCTCCCTGCAGCGTGCTTGATCGAAGTTGAGAGAGGAGCGCTAAAGCTGCTTGCCACTGCTCCCCCTTCTCACAGGCGCTGATGGCTGCATTGAAAGAAATGACATTCTTCTGGACGCTGCTCTCCTCTTGGCCGGGTAACCAAGCGTGGAACCCTTGCAGCTGCAGCAGAGATGGGTTTAATCCCGACAGAAATCTCGGGAAACCTCCACAGCGGAAGCCACCAAGCCCCAGCCGGTGGCACGCAAACCCAAGACATCTTCGCCTTTCCTCTTACGATCTATTCACTTCCCCTTCCTGGCCTCCTTCTGCCTTTGCCAAATGTCAAAAATCCAGGAAGCCTAAATAGAGCCAACGTTCTGCCCGAAACTCCAGCAACAATCCGGATCCCTCTTTCTTTCTCGTTCCTGCTCTTTCCTTTCTCCTTCCCTTCTTGTTTCTTCATTTTCATTTTCCATTTCTCTTCTCAGCATGCCTTTCTCCTTTCCTTTCCCCTCCTCTTCTCGTCTTCTTCCTTTCTCTTCCCATCCTCTGCCCGTCCTCTTCCTTCTCCCTTCCCCTTCCTCTTTCTCCTTCTGCATTCTGCATTCCTGCCTCTGCTCTTCATCTTCCCTTTCTGTTCCCTTCCTTGTTCCCTTTTCTTTCCTTGTTTTCCTCCCAGTGTCCTGGGCTTTGACCCACGGCACTTCGACGCGGAGAAGTACAGGCACAGGCAAGCGCCACGGTGATTCTCCATACTTGGTCCACGTGTTACTGTGTCTACTTCACGGTGAGCTTGCCGCAGCCAACGAACAGCTGTTTGACGTTCCCATCCTCTGCCGTGTTCTTCCCCTCCTGTTCCCGTACGTTTCTTCGCTTTCCTGGGCTTGTCGGGTTTCGCTTCTGGTGCTCCCTCCACTTTTGTTCGCAATGCTGTCTTGTGAGAGGAACCAATTTCTTGTAGTAATATGCCAGCGCGACATCTACAGAGCCCTTAGATGCCCTTAGCATGCTAGAACTCAGGAAGGCAATGGTGCCGTGCATCTTATCATGAAGACAAGGGAGCTACTAAAGCAGCACTCTAAAACATACCGTGTCATTGGCGTCCCTTAGTAAGCGGTGCTTGAACCCTACTCTCAAGCGTTCCTTGGGTAACGTGGCGCCCAATCTCGAATACTTTGTCCCCCTGCCCAAAGGAATGAAACATGCAAGGTGACCCTGCGCAACAGAAAGGGATAGGCTGTCTAGCACCTAAATTCCGAACCCAGCAAGCAGGGGTTGCTTCACAGGGCTCGCAATCCTCCAATCCATCTGGCCTAATGTACGAAGCAAAACTACAAATCCCTTCCCCCTTTTAATTGATAAATGCACCCGACCAATAAACATGTGTTTTTTCCCAGACCCCGGATCCCCAATCCTACTGTTAGTACGAAACCTGCGCATTTCGCGCCACCAGTCATACTACTAGGGGGTATTCCGGCACATTGATTGAAAAAATATATAAATGCATATGTACTGTTTACTAGTCTATCTTTATGTCTTGAATTTCAACTTAATTTTAACTTGCACCTTTCTCTTTTGAATCGCAAAAACAAGGAAACGACCTTAAATTGTATTTAAATGCATTGCTCGGAAAAGGGAAAATTACAATTTTCACGGTGTTCGTATCTGGGAAAGGGGGGAACCCATTTCAACGCGGACCGAAGAGGAAATCCAGTCGAGCCCCAATTACCCGATTACTACATATCTGTTGGGATATTTACGATTAGGCGGCAATCGAAAGGCTCCTCCATTTCCCCAAAGAAGCACAACGCCAGTTGCCACTGCTCTCCCTTCTCGCAGGTGCTGATTGCAGCGCCATACGTGACCACGTCCCCGCGAAGATCTGCGAAGAAATGGGCAGATCTTGTTGAGGGTAACCTTTCTAAGTTTGGTTTGAACAGAGACACAAAACTAAATTGCAGCCTATTTGGGCCCTACTTTGACACGCACCCAAACCTGCGACTCGACTCCCCCGAATGTTGTCCAAGACGCGGCCAGTATTCCAAAGAACCCAAACGCAACCCAGCCCGGCCAAAGCCTCAAACAAGCCTTCTCACCTCGCGCCGCTTGAAAAGAAGCGCTTACACATGAACCTCGCCCCCTGGTCGAGCTAGAGCCATCTGAAACAGCGAACTGTGCAACAAGCCTGTGGTTGTGTATTTCTCTGTGAGCTACCCACTCCCACGGCAAACACCGAGATCAAGGCTCCATGCCCGCCTTCCCCTCGCATCTCCATCAGCAAGTGCACCACCTGCTGCCATGGTCAAAGCTCAGATGCGGGCCATTGTCATGCATCCTCCAGTAAGGATCATTATCTGTGAATTCCCATATGAGGAGATTCATGATCATCCGTCACCTCAATTAAAGGGGGTCAGAAGACCCTCGGTGCTGGGGAAGAAAAGGAGGATTTTCAAGCGGGGCAAAAAGAAGAAGAAAAAAAGGAAACGACGGGGAACTAGGGGCGTTCCGGCCTGCTGCCACTGCTCGCACAGCGCGATGGCTGCGTTGTAGGCCGCAAGCGACCGGCGCGAGTCGCCCGAGGCAAAGAGCGCCAGCGCCAGGGGCCAGTGGCTGCCCTTGGCCGAGCAACCCCTGGGACTGACCCCCTTTGCCGGCATGGCGCGCATGTGTGTGCGTGTGTCGCATCCATGCGCAAAACCTGCCGTGCCACGTTCGTGCAGTGAAGCAGCTGTGTAGAAGGACAAGCGAAAGAATATGTCTAGGTGTTCCTTCTCCACTCTGAGGGCTTCTCTGCTGATATGGCGTGCCGGGGTCAACAGTACAACCAGTCAGTGGGCATGCAGGCCTGCCGGCAAACATTTGCTTGTTCAAAACTCTGCTTCCCAAATGGATCAAGCTTCCTGGCAGGACCGCTGCCAGAAGGGATAAATAACAATGTTCACAGCACAGCTGGCAAAAGTATGCTGGCGTTTGCCCGCCAGCTCTCACCAAGCAGCCAACGAGAACTATGCCCAGGAAGTTCCCGCCTGGACCCCATCCCAGTGGCCTGGGGCTTCCCGAGGATTGGCGGCTGAACAAAACGCTGGCGAAGCGACGTCCAAGGCACCCTTTCGCAGGCACTCATTGCTGCAGTCTGTACCGCGCCGGCATCCGAATGCGCGGCCATCGACATTGCCTTGCAGATAGGCTGGTCAATCTGAGGGTCAGAACAAGATGCGGCCAACCCTGCTGGATAACAGCGGTTAAACCACAATTGATGCAGCACGCTCCTTTGCTTGTCGTCTAATATAGGGGGTCAGGGTCTGGGCGTGTCTAACCCAAATTTGCTCCAACCTTGTCATAGTCACAGGTTGCTTCGTGAGGCAAGGATTGTGATCACAGAATTAAATTTGATGACTTTGGGGGCTTTGTTTCGCCAGGTTTCGGGCTACTTTCGCATTTCTCTTGAGGTTGCTCCAGAGTGGGGTTCTGGGTTTGGGATTCCAGTCAGAGCGGGGCTTGGATTCGTGCTGTGTGGCAGGCTCAGGGATGATGTTTGTCTGAATCAGGGCAGGACGTGGTGTGATTTCTTGTCGGCGTAGGGTCGGTTGAGGCGTGGTTTTCTTCTCCAACATGTGGCGCAATGCTCCAAAACCCGCCCAAACCAGCCGACATAACCAACCCAAAGTCTGCCGACAGACCGACCCACCAGCAAACCAGCCAACCAACCAACCAACCAACCAACCAACCAAGCTTGCCAGGGCGAAGGCCTGTGCTAGGGCTAAAATGCGACAAGGGATGTTAGCCTGAATGGAATGCGTCACTCAAACATGCAGGCGTAGGTCTACGCCAAGCAGGTCATCAAGAGTGAACAGAACAGGATTGCTCCCAGCTTCAGACACACACACACACATACCGACATACTCTGCTTTTCCAGTGTCAATCAGCTGCAGCTCTGGAGTTTGAAGTGCCGTCACGCAGTCTGTGGGGTCAACTCTCAAGGACTGGTAAGGTGAGATTGCACTCAGAACCTTAACAAATCAGTCACACAGCGCCCCTGCGACCACGCGCAAACTGTGAACACTTTCACAGTTTGAGAGATGGCCTCAGCATCACGCCGAACCCCCAATCCCTCCCCAAGCTCCCCTCATCCTCCCTGGCTCCCCGACTCGCTCCTGGCGCCACTGGTGGCTCTTGGCGCAGGCTGAGGTCGCAGCAGCCTGCGCCACCACCAGGCGCTGAAGCGCCAGGCCGGCGCCGCGCAGCAGCAGCTGAAGCGCCCAGACCCAGCGCCCGGCCTGCTGAAAGGATCTCTTGCCGCAAGGAGGTGATGTTCAGATGTCGAAAGGGGGTGAAGATAAAGGTGATGTTGCTTTGGGTTACATATTGAAACATCTATGGCTTCAAATTCTCAACAGCACTCCTTTTGACGTCGCCAGCCCTTTTCATGTAATATGACATCGCAGGTGGCTATGAACTTTACAGGGGCATGCCTTCGAAGATGTTTGGTGGACATACATCCCCACCCAAATGACGTCCACCAGGGGGTACTTCAATTTCAAGCCCAGGTGATGCTGACCCTGTAGAAGCGACTGCACTTTCCATTTAGATGAGTCTTTACGTCCTCTTTTGAGATCGCCTGTTTTGGAAGCACTGTTCAAGATATCTAACCCCACCCGAAGTGACAGCTTTCGGCTGCATCACCGCCGTTCATGTACATCACACCCATGTTCAATATTTGTTTGAATGCATTGCAAAGCTGAGGCCTGCTCTAACTCGGACCACCGGCTTTCCTCAGCTCAATGCGTTGACAATGTTCCGGCCCCATGGACGAGTTTTGGCAGCCGTTGCCCAACCCCCCCCCCCCCTCCCCCAACCACCCGCAACCACCCCCAACCACAACGACAAATCCCGACCACGCAACCACGCAACCACGCAACCACGCAACCACGCAACCACGCAACCACGCAACCACGCAACCACGCAACCACGCAACCACGCAACCACGCAACCACGCAACCACGCAACCACACCCACCAACCCACCCTCCCACCCTCCCACCCTCCCAAACCGGCCAAACCGCCCAAACCCACAGCCAACCAACCCTTCAACCCCCGAGCACCACCCCCTCCTGGCCGCAGCTCTTTATGACCGCCGTGCATTGGATCACGTCCACGCGATACCCACACTCCACCTGCGAGGCGCCCAAGGCACCGCACACGGCATACCACTCTCAAGCGACAGCCCTGGCATGGACTCCAACGGAAAAAGAAAAAAGGCAGTTCCCACTGAGCTGAAAGCATGACCATGAACCAGGCTTGTCTAAATTTACAGGAGCACAAGATGCATGTCCATCTTCAGTGTCAACTTCTCTACGTCACGCATATGGTATAACGGCCCGGCCCTTGCTCTCCGAGAGGCAAACTCCTCCAGCAACACCAAGGTGTGTAGCCATCGCAATGTCTCCCCACAATTTCGGATGGCATCTGTGTAGGCTTTGATCTCAGCAGGCAAGCTACCGGTCAGGGAACGTCTGGGCCGACAAAGGTGAAGCCATTGGAACAGAATGTTGAAAATGACTCTGTGCTCTGACTATACAAAGTTCAAGTGCACCCCCTCTTTCGTTTTGTTGGACTTTACTTCCCAAGCGTCCAACGCGCATAACCCCCGAGCTCAGCAGTCTGTGAATCAAAAGACATGGCCTCATGTCCCTTCCGCAAGAGGCCTACAGCTACCCAAGAGGACATGCGAAGACTGCATGGCAAGGAGAATTGGACGACCGCTGCAGACTTCAGAATTCCTGCCCTTCACTTCATCCTGCCAGTCGCATTGTTCCTTTAATTGAAGTGTTGGTAATCCCTGGTTGAGTGACTTGAGGATCTCATGCAACGTAAAACTTTAGAAATTCGGATCCTACTACTGGGGTGCCTGGGAGGACTCAAGATGTGTCAGGGAATTCCTCTGAGTAGTGTGGTCCTCGTTAAAACCCTAAGTTCGCAACAGGACAGCCTTACAAGAACAACCCTGTTTCAGACAATGAAGCGTTGCTAAAGCCTCAGCTACTTTTGGTCCTATTCAGCAAAACTTGAAAAGTCCATGTCTTGTCATCTATTCTTGCGAATTCATCAAACCTTGCGGAACTGGATGTGTTTTGCCGGGTGGCCAGCGTGCCCCTGGGGCTACCCGCCATGGCGCAGCGGCCCCCTGTAAGCCAAACGGCCGATGTCGCGGTGTCTCATGAACAGAGAAATGGGCGGCAGAACATGAACCTAGAGGAAAAAACGCTGGGCTTGAAAATGAGGGCCCTGGATGAGTCAAGAGTAAACCCCCTACATTCGGCCATGTTCCGCAATGGTTGCACCAAGGACCGAAGCTTCTGGCTGATTCCCTGCATGGGACCTGGAACCTGCATCACTGGCCTTCAACCGCAGCACGGAACCACCAGTCAAAATGCCTTCTGGCCATCCTTTCTTTGTCAGAGCCATCCACCTTTTCAAGACCTGGGTTGGGCCAACCACCTGCGCTAACAAGTGTCACCAGGTTTTATCTTGAAAAAGGCTCATGGCCTGGTTCCTTGACCCAACATCGCCTCATTCGGACCCAACACACACCGCGCGCGCGGGGAAAGAAGAAGCCGACAGGGGCCACCGCTCCAGGGGGCGGCTGCAGGTGCTGAGGCCTTTGCGCAAGCTGAACCACTGACAAAAGGTCCTATCTACAAATACCTAATGTAAATTATATACATGTATATATATATATACGTGTATATATATATATATAACATACACATATATCTATATATATATATACACACAAATATCTATATATGTATATATATACAGTAGAGATACAGCCCAACGACAGCCCGAAAGCCCAACAACGCAAGAGCCCGGCATCCCAGTAGCGCAACAGCCCAACAGCGCAACAGCCCAACAGCACAAGCCTAACAGCCCAGCCCAACAGCCCAACAACAGCCCAGCAGCCCAACAACAGCGCTACAGCCCAACAACAGCGCTTAGGCTGAGCTTTGAGGCACGGCGCGCCGGCAGAAAGAAGAAAACAACTGACGCTTGGGCGAATGGTTGGGGCATCGGATGTCTTGCGTTGGACGGTTGACGTTTCGACTTGACTGGCCAAAGACACTCTAGGCCACCACATGACTGGAGCCCGCGACCCCCCCCCAACTGAGTGCCTGCCTGATATTTGTTCCCTGCACAGCACACGGTTTGAAGCTGCCTGCAATGATTCGTGGCACAGAAGACACGCGTCACCCGCTCGGAACAACACAAACGCATCCCACCACAGTTGCAGAAGAATGCATTGCGTTGCCAATTATAACTTGGTGTCAAAACAGAGATATGCCCCTGGGTAAGAAGCAAAGTGACGGAACCTGTGAGATGCGTGGCGTAGCGCCAAGAAAATTGGTGAAACATGGTAGGCGAGCCAAGGCGAAGCGTGCAAATGCTTTACAGTGAAGGGCTCACTTCGGGCACCTCCTTGTGCGCAGAGAATTTCAAAAAAGCAACCCACGGACCTGGAATGTTATCTCTGACAAGCGGATGCTGTGCTTGATCTGTGTCCGTGTGTGCAGTTGCAGAAGACGTCTTTGCGACATGCTGCGGATGAACAATACCTTCTCCAATGCCGGACAAAATTGAGGTACTTCATGCTTCTTGTCACCCAGCAACGGCAAAGGCACTGTGCATCCATAACCTGCCGGAAGGACGTCGCCCCATTGCGGATCAAGAACAGTATCTGCCAGGCCAGAGATGACATTCCAAGTCCGCAATCCGCTATTTGAAACTCTCTCGGGGAGAGGTGCCCAATGCGCATGATGCCCTAAAGCTTCCACATGGCTTTGGTAAAGCCACAGCGAACCTACGGCTAGTCCGTAGATGTGACAGGCAGCATCGTGACCACATTCCATGGCGAGAGTGCCTGGCTGAACATCTATCAATTGGGGGAACCAGTCCCAACCAACGGCCAAGCAAACAAACCCCAACAAGGAATTCCACCTAACTGGGAAATACGCTGAAACGTGGCCTCTTCGGCAACTTAAGTGAAAGCCGGGGAGCACGTAGACCGCCGCAAAGGCGAAGAAGGGAACCTAAGCTGAGACAGTCCGAAGAATATCAGCAGCGACTGAATTCTACGAGGTCACCCGCCAATCACACCAAACGGCTCAGACAGATCAAGGCTGGCGGTATGTTTGGGGGATGCTAGGAGCAGTTTTATGATGTTGCGCTGGGGGCGGGCGAGAGCTGAGGTGGCGGCCACAGCCACCTTTGCAGCTGCAACCATGGCACCAGATCACTACTGCAACAAGTTCCGATGTTTGAAAAAAATGACCACATCCAAAATACACACATGTTCCATACCACCTAGTCAAAGGCTATCAAGCCTGAGAGGAATAAATCTGTCTTGCACTCTTGCTGCAATGTACCAACGCATCGAGCAAACAGACACTTAGGAACTGCGGAACGTTGGACTTTTCAGACGAACGCTGCTTGCTCCTTCAGGGTCCCAATTGGTGTCTGTGCACATATATGGATTTTGGTGTTTGGGCCATGGAGGCAACTGCGCGAAAGAAACATCCTCAACTGCTTGCAAGAACGACCAGCAGGCGAAAGAACAAGAGTGCAGACAAATCAAACCAACTGGGAGCACAAAAGGTACATCAAACAAGCAAATCTGCGAAGTTTTGGACTCCTTCCAACATGCCAGTGTACACGGGGCTGCGCAAGCGCAGCCAACGCCACGCCGGCAAAACTATCCGATTCCCCAACAACACGGACCTCGCATATTTGTCATCTCTGCACATGTTCTTCTGGAGATCTGTGTATTGGCTGTGAAACGGCCTTCAAGCAAGCACCTCGGCAGGTTGGCAATCTTGGGAGTCAGTAGTGGAGAGTTTGTTGGGACACTTGCCATTCACATCATCCAACGCAGGTTCTTGTCAGTTCCCCATTCTGCATTCCCCACTTCATGACCAGTCAAAAATCCTTCAGATCAAAAGCCCTGCACCTAAACTGTTAAAAGCGTTGAGCCAGCTACAGAACTTCCTGGAGTTCCCAACAGCTTTGCTTCCAATTCTGCTGACCATCTCTGGGTCAGTGACCAATTCGATTGTTTCGTTCAGTCCTGGTGCCCCAAAACCATGCCGCCAAAGTGTGTTTGTGTTGCCCCTTTGTGCAAGCAGGCAGCTCAGTCCAAACAATAAAATTTAAAGCTGGACCAGCACTCATCTGCGTTGTCATCAGAGACTCTATCTCTCCTCGTATCCGTGCATCAACAGAAGCCTTAGGAGAAGGTAGAAACCAAGACGGCCGTTTGCGGCACTCTGTGGCCGTGATAGATGGTTCAAGGGTCGGAGGTGTTGATTGTACTCTCAATTCATTGGCCGAGCAGAAACTGCGCAAGTTGCGAAGCCCTGCTACACCCAAACTAACGGTGACCGCAGATTCATCAACCTGGCGGATGAATGGTGTAGTTTGCCCCCTTCAGAAGAAAGTTTCTAAAAGGCTTTGCAATAGTACAGGTCGCATACCTGCTATTTTCTAGTTGGAACAGCTATTTCGCAGGCGGGGAATTCAACATTGGTCCACTGCTGCGCCGAAAACTCCATCTAGGCGTCAACATGGGACAGCCGCCGTTCTCTCTTTGAAACCAAGTCAAAAAGGGAAGCCAAACGCAAAGGAAGCCAAACACTATATAAACCGAAAGCCAAGAGTCAAAACCTCTGGGAAAGCAAAACGAAGCCCCAGGAAGCACTCGCAGCAAAATGCAGTTTCCCCGAGTCCGGCACTTCACCAGCACATGGCAGGGGAGCCACCGCAGGAGTTGGACCTTCGCAGCATTTTCAGGAGCCGACCGGAGGAAACAAACAACTGGGTCTCGCAAATTGGTTACACATGTTAATGTTCTTGTGTGATTGGCCTCATCCATTGACTAGCACAAACATGTTGAGGTTCTCCAAACTACTGCTTCCCTTTGAACCGTGAGTGATATCAATGAATCAAATGGGTGGTTCTTGCCGCAGGCTGCTCCCTGCTGCTCTGCAAATTAACATGGAATCTTCAAAGTTGGGGTCACCCACAAAGAGACTCCTCTTAGGGGGGGTGCCATGTTAATCTGCAGGGCGCAGGGGGGGTGCCATGTTAATCTGCAGGGCGCTGGGGTATGCGCCCCAAGCCATAAACCTTCGATGTACTCGTTCACCGCATAGGTTGATGATTTCAGTTCAATATACGGTTTGGGACACGTTCCGAGGGGCACGTTTTCATTCCCCCTGATCTTCACTGGGGCATTGCAGGTCTGGGGCAGTAGATCACCAAAATAGAGAGGAAGCCAAACAGGCCCATGTCCATCCTTGAAAAACTATCTAGAAGTTCTGGCTCAAGGTGCAAGTGACTTGCACATGGCATAGCAGGCCGATGCAACACTGTTTGTCAGTTTGACAGTACACCAACTCGTCTCACTTATTATTGTTGTTATTCCCGCTACTATTCCTACTACTCTTACTATTGCTATTACTAATTATATTCCTCTTACTCTTACTATTACTACTACTCTTACTATTGCTATTTCTACTACTATTACTATTACTATTTTTAGTATTTGTATTAGTATTTGTCCTATTGTTACTATTATTATTATCATTAGTAGTACTAGTAGTAGTAGTAGTAGTAGTAGTAGTGGTGGTGGTAGTAGTAGTAGTAGGAGTAGTACTAATACTAGTAGTAGTGGTAGTAGTAGTAGTAGTAGTAGTAGTAGTAGTAGTAGTAGTAGTAGTAGTATTTTGTAATATCTTCCTTGGCAGTCACAAACAAGATGCGGGGAACCAGCTATTCACTTGATCTCTCTTCCTTGTACAGGCATTGCAAACAGGGCAAACCATGTTGTCGGCCAACCTTTGCGGCACTGTATCATCTGCTTGCTCTTGACAGGTTTGGGCGATCCCTCGAGGAAAGAAACCTACGCTCCCCCTTCTTTTTCCCCACGCGCCAGAAAAAGTTCTTCAAGAGCCCTCGTAGGGGTCTTAAAGAGCCTTCAAAGTCCGCCATTGGCACCCGGGCTGGCAGATCATGCCGCGCTCGTCGGTGCTCATGTCGACATCACACATGGGAGGCCAAACTCCAGTGTGCCAAAAGCACTTGTATCCTTAGGCGGGGATCGGGCCATCTGGGGATGCGTCTTTTGCGAACCCGCTTTTGGTTGGCTTGAAGCTAAACCAAACAGAACCCACATGCTTTGGAATCCCTCGTTGGCAGACAACTCACTCAATATTATTTGCGGCCTCTGACCAAGGATTTGTGCCAGTAGTGTAAGTTATTCATTTGCAATCTATGTTATCTCCAGTACAACATTTCATGATGAACAATCTGCAACAGTCAAGAAGACTAATGTTTGCTAAGCAAACCAAATGGTTGGACTGTGAATTCAGCACTCCCAGTTTTGGCTGTGGTCAACTTAATGTTCAGGTATTCTGCAAAAGATCAATCACGAGCTGAGCTACTGCAAACTAGTACGGCTAATCTCCGCAAATACACCCTTGCACAAGTACAGCCCCCCTCCTCAGAAATCGGACACATGCTGGGAGCCTTTGATGTGGTTCCCTCATTCTCTCCAATCCTGAAGCACCACAAGCGCTGCTGTGGAGCTAGTGTGACACAAGGCCCTCACGGCTCCAGGAAACTCGGGGCCCCGTGCCGATGCCGGACATGACGGTAAAGCTCCGCTCGCATTCGCCGACGCCTGACACGGGAAAGACGTCAAGAATATCTTTGAAGCTGGAGCCGGCATGGCTTGATGGGGGGGACTCAGCCTATACAAAAGATGTTCTGCCCTTGTCTTTAGGTCAAGTTGACTCAGACCCACCAGTTCAGGGATGAGCTACCTGAACCAAGTTTGCTTGCGCAGGGCGTCCCGCATGTTTCAAGCTGCCTCAGGGACACCAGGACTTAACAATTTAAGCTGAACCGCCGAGCTGGTGCACCTGAAACGACAGGAGCCTACTTGAGCTTGCGTAGAATGCACTTCGGGCCGTTCCTCTCTTAAATTGGCTTCCTGCCACGCCCAGTGACCTGCCTGCAGCACTGCAGTATGGCACCTGGCTGGGGGGAGGGACTATGTTGGCGAGAGAGAGACAAGCTTGCCGCAGTCTTCTGCCTTGTTGGACATGCATTTCAACAACTCATCTCCACGTGTTCATCATCATTTCTTGACGGCCAAACACTTCAAAATGCTATGAGCCTGTTCAGCATGATTCATAGGTTGGTCCTTCCATTGCCTGCCATGTGAGCAGTTTAGTGGCTTCTTCAATCTTGGAAGGCTGAAAGGCACGGGTTCATGAGAGGGCATCGAGTCAGGAGCCCTCTTGGCTCTGCGGCCGCGGCACTCTGCAACCCAAGTATCGCGGGGCAGACATGGGGGGTGTCTCAGAATAGAACCCCTAAAAAGGTTGGTTGCCTTTGGCTTCCCTCCCAAACAACCCATCAAAGGATACCCTCAAATGAAAACAAACCTACGCTCACACCAGAAAGCGATGGATGAAACCGCCATTGCACCTTTGGCACTCCTTCCTTTCGTGCTGAGCAATGCGGATGTGTTCGTTCTGCGAGTGACAGGTAGGAAACCAATTCCCTGCCTGCGACAAACCCGAGCAGTCCGCGTTGCCATTCTTGCTGGTCCAGCGTCCAAGCCTCGGCTACACCGAATTCTGTGTTCGAGTCCTCGGCAAAAGGCATTGGAAACAAGGCAGATGCCAATCCCCTGCTAAGCAGCGCCCAAATCTGTTGACTCTTGGTTCTACCAGTATGGTGATAAATGCTATCTATATATATATATATGTCTTGCTATTGCCCCTCTGGAGCCGGTAGAACCACCTACTAAAATACTTCATACGGGGTGTTAAGCGCTGCTTTCTTCTCTCTATTTTCAACTGGTGCCTATGGCCAATCTCCCGGTCTCCTTGAACATGCTATCAACACAGGGTGATTCACCGTAAGGCTCCCAGCATGTTCTGCGCCACTCCGGGAGGCTTCACAGTCAGGCTGATTCCTCGCAAGGCACTGCTTTGCCCAGGTTGGACCAAGGAGTTGCTGGACGTGGCTGTTCGCTGCGAATTGAAACCATGGCCTTCTCAGACATTTGTTGACGAGGGTTGAGGCTGCAAAAAGAAAGAAAGAAAGAAAGAAAGAAAGAAAGAAAGAAAGAAAGAAAGAAAGAAAGAAAGGAAGGAAGGAAGAAAGAAAGAAAGAAAGGGAAGGAAGAAAGAAAGGAAGGAAGGAAGAAAGAAAGGAAGGAAGGAAGGAAGAAAGAAAGAAAGAAAGAAAGAAAGGAAGGAAGAAAGGAAGGAAGAAAGGAAGGAAGGAAGGAAGGAAGGAAAAGAGAGGAGGGGATCTTCCTGGTCCATGTGCTGCCCACTGGCACCTACTTGATGTTGAATGCTCTTAAAACATCACGCAGCGGGGGACTTCCAGGAATGATCCCTTGCTTGACAGGTCGTGCAACATCTGAGCCTATGCTGCTACTCGTAATGGACAAGGAACATTAGTGTTCCCCTGCATTTGTGGGACATTTGAGTCGCTGCGTCACGATCCATGCGCAGTCAATCTTGCGCGGTATCAAAGCTGTCCATCTATCAAGTCTTGGTTGTGACTGTCTACATGGTCCCACGTTGTGCAACCTCGAGCTAAGACAAGCCCATTCTGGCACGCTGGCCTTTCTGCTGCACGGAGTCGGAGGCGCCCTTGACCTCTGCTTGGCTCGAGAGACGAGATGGTGTCCACTACCGCCAACCCACTACCCACAGCCACAGGGGTTTAATGGGATATACAACCACAAAAACACACATATCAAGGGCATCCAGCAACTGGCAATTTATGCAGGAATCTCCACAGTTTGTTTGTGAGAGTGTGGAGATGCTCGTAGCTTCCGAACGGTGTGTGGAATGCTCTGGTTTGCTACAACGAGCCAGCAAACCGGGCATTGAATACCAGGCAATCTCTGGCCGTGCCAAGCAGTGCCAGGATTGTATGTATCCCACTGGAGAAGCATGACGACACAGAACAACGCCATCAAGTCATGGCAAACTGCAGGAGGAGGCAGCAACAAGTCTAGCGTGTGTTGAACCTTTTCCTGTTGGCCTGCCCCTTCGTCCAAGATCCATCATCGCTCGCATGTTTGCGCCTTCTATGGCCCAGCTGTTCAAATGCACGAAGTCATGGTCTGCTTATCGCATGTGGCGATGAGCATCCCTGCCGAAAGATATACACATGGAGCAAGAACAGCAGCACTTGGGCCCTCCACCTAACTCCCGCCCATTGGAAAACGAGATGGACACAGCATACGACTGGGTGCATGAAAGTGACATCTTCAAGAGCCGACCCTCTAAATGGAGGTTTCAAGGAACTCCCCCCCAATTGCAAATACTATTTGTTTAAAACCCCTCACAATGCCACATTGAGGGCGCGGCGGTGTAGCAGAGCACATAGGTACCAGCCCCGCTCACAGTAAAGGAAGCGTGGCCAGCACCCACATCCTTCTCTGGGGTGACCTGATCACCTGGGAAGCATGACGACACTGCAATTGCTGCATCTTTGAAAGAGCAATGGATGCAGGTTGATGATGATGGTGGTAGTGATGATGATGAGGATGATGAGAATGGTCAAGATGGTGAGGATGATGATGATGAGGATGATGAGGATGAGGATGATGAGGATGAGGATGAGGATGATGAAAATGACGCTGCCGTCTGGCTGCTGCAAGGGCTCCAGATGGCAGCTTGCGCTGATGCCCACGGCTACCGTGTGAGTGTGTTTTGACCTCTGGCATATACGGAGTCTAGCCATTGAAGGCAGATCAGACTTTGATGATTGCGCTCGCTGAATTTAGTCTGTAATGGTCAGCATACACTTGGGCCTGATGATTGAATGGGGGAGCTTCTGGTGCAAATCGTTTACTTGGGGATTTGTGTGCAACAACCACTCTTGAGGGATTTCCCCATTGGTCATAGCCACTTAGACTCGTCGCAGTTCTGCAATTCTGAATAAGCAACCTGGCAGGCTCTGTTTTTGTCTTTGTTTGCCAAAAATGAACAAAGCATTGGGTTTGGCTTAAAACAAAAAACAAAACGCATATGAATTACCGCAGCTGCCATGCTCATTCCCGGCTTCGACGTAGGCCGACAGCACAGACCACTCGGCTGCCGCGCAGGAGGAGGTCTCGGAGTTCACGAAGGAGGCCTTGTCCCCGGACTTGGCGCCGATGACCGCGATGGTGGTGGCGACCTGAGAGGCGCTGAGAGGCGCTGAGAGGGCGGGACCCTTCCCGAGATTTCGCCTGAGGAACCTCACTGTAGAGAACAAGTGTCCAACAAAACCAACCCGCAAGGCGAGAAGGAATCACTTTTCGGGGGGTGCAAGAAGCTTCCGCTGGCCAAACGCAAGAAGTTGCGGTCGTGACTTTCTCAACCACTGGGTTAGCAACTAGAAAACACAAGAATTTGGCGGCTTAATCATGACATCTGCCACCCTGCAGCCTCGATCAACAACGTTCGCAGCGCCTCACAAACCAGGCTAAGTGCAAATCCATGGCGACCTTGTTACGTTGTTGAACAATAGCATGTTTTGCTTGCTGTGAGCAACATCGTGAAGAGGCAGACATCTTCAACCCAAGTCCTTGTCTACATCAAAGCAACAACCAGGCTGCCGGGCGTTGGACGTGATCACAGTGGGACTGATCGAAGTGACCTGGTCCTCCCTCGTGGAGGTGGCCTGGGCCCGTTAAGTCCAGCCCGGCCTTTGAAGCTGCGGCGCGTCGCATTTGCAACCCCGATTTCCGCGGACGAAGCGGCTTCGCAACTTCCGAAAAGCCAGCATTGCTCCTTACATGGCCCAATTCACCACAAGGCTGTTCAAAGATACCCGCGGTTCAAAGGAACCCGTTTCTATTTGCCAGCTTGCCGTTTGAAGGAGCCCGCCTGGATGACTTGCAGGGAGATGGCCCCGGTATCGGGGTTCTGCTCCACGGAGTCGCTGCCGCCCGGGGCGCGGTAGCACAGCTTGTAGGCGCCCCCCGCGCCTCGCACCCGGCACGGGGCATGGCCCCTTTAAGCCAAGAGAAGTTGTTGCTTTTTGTCGTTTTGTCGATGGTGGCTGAAAAAAGACATGGTTAAAACTGGGGGGAGCCATTTTGGAGCGATTTCCGTTGAGGGTGTCTGGATTTCGATCAGCCAACCCTCCATTTTGAACTGCCCATCAAATGAATTGGGTTGGTCACAAGGGTGAGCAACCAAGAACAAACCAACATGCACCATGCACATCCTGTCTGGCAACTTGGCGGTTTGCTGCTCCCAAGGCCAAGAGACTCCCGGAGGAATGCTTGGCATTTCACCCGAATACCAGTCTGATACAAACTCTTCCAGCATTGTCATGCCATGATGCACGAATAAGTTTGATCCGCCACAATTTACGTCACATCATTATGATGTCCTTTTCTATGCGAACCATCTTTCCACAAGCAAATTGCTTCTGCCTTCCCGCAACATGAAGGCTTGGAGTTTGGAGCTGGGGATATCCAAGCCACAGTCTCCAGACATACCCAGGCACAGCCCCCATGATTTAAGGAACCTTTCGATAGTTGTCTCTCCCAGGTCCCCACGGAAGCTTTCCAACCAGAAGTCCGAGCTTGTGAGCGCACCAGGACCCCGCGCTGCTGATGGTGAAGAGACCCTTGCCGCTGGCGTCCAAACTCACGGTGGGGATGGCCTGTCGGCAGTCCTCCTGGGCCGGGATGAAGATCGCCTGGCTCGGCTTGCGCGCAGCGAGCCCGACGCGACATCCCGGACGTGACCCTCTGAGCAAGGCAGAAGACAAGGCCCAGCCAACTCACAAAAGCCTCGGGTCTTTGCTCTTGGGTGGGCTTGGATGGGTTGCTTGGAAGGGGTGTAAAGGCGTCGAGGAAAGCAAAGTGGAGGATGCTAGAGGAATCGGCCGGAGCATCACAAGCCAGGTGCTTCTTCTCATCCGAGCAGCACCCAAAACTGACTTGTGGTTCTACAAACATAGTTATAGAGTTGTTTGTAGGCCTTGCCACGAATCCCAATTCAACCAGCTGTAGAACCGCCTAAGAGAACACGGAGTACCCACATCGCCCGGCCTTGGACTCAGGGCCTGCGCCTTTGATGCTGATCGTCGTCGCCTCGCCTGGCCAAGCGACCAATCTGTCACGCCCAGCTCCAACCATGGGCTTCAAGTCCCCAGCAAGTCTTCTGATGGCATGAACCCCATCACAGAGTCGGGCGAATTCATGGGTCAAACGATGCGGCTGCGATGTTGGGCATGGGAAAATGCGTGCCCCGTGGTGCTTGGTGTCCTCCAATGGCCCTCGCAAATTCACCATAGACTGCAGCTGACTAGTTTGACCAAACCTCAAGCGGATGACCATACGAGAATTGTCACTCAAATGCCATGCTCCCCAGGGTGCGAGAGTCGCAGTGGCAAAACAGTGGGAATGCTGATTGACCCTGAAACATGCAAGCCTTCATTCTGCCCCATTTCAGAATAGCACAGAACGTGGAACGTTGGTGGCATCACAAACATCATGTGCAGCAGCGTGGCGTGCAGTTTGCATGGGCTTCGCCGGGCTTTGAAGCTTCGCCCCGGCCACGGCTACATAAATTTGTCTGCCCTTCGCAATTCACAGTGCGACACTATGGTGCTAACATGAACTGAACATGCTTCAATTTATCACTACTCCCGAGCATTAGGGCCTGCCGGCAACAGTACGCAGCTTCGTTGAAAGAGCCGCGCCAATCTTTGCCCGCGGGGCTCACAGTGCCATGGTCCCTTGGCTCCCGCACGCCTTGTGTAATGGTGGTGGGAGCAATGCCGATGATGGCTCCCGTGTCCGTTGGGGGCACCTTAGAGTCAAAGTCACGACAACACTAGTTACAGTTTCAATCTGTTTGATTTGGCCTTAAACATCCGGTGCACGAGTCACGAATGGCACGCTTTGAGAGAGAAGATGAGTCCGTCCCTGGGAGGCCTTCCAGCATGCGAGTTCTCACGCTGGGCAAGGCTTTCCGAGAGCATCAGATGGAACGAGGCGGACCCGTTCAAAGATTCTGCCGGCGAATTTGGCGCGAATCTCTGAGGCCGCTGGCCACAGCCAAGGCAACACCATTCTGCGCCACCACTTCGTTCTTGCCAGCCTCCTGCGCGTCACATCGTCACCGGGAAGAAAATGCAAATTTCGGAGCGGCCTGGAGGCAAAGGCTGAGCTTCTCGGCCTCGTCCTCGACCGTGATCCTGAAACGTGGGCAATCCCTCCAAATTCAGACAGGTCGACAACTTCACCTTGGATGGGCCGTCAGCTAAATGGTTACTGACCCTAGTTAACTAGTTACAAGAGTTTACAGGGTAGGGGAACTGGGGTTACTAACCACCTGGCCAACTATCCACCTGCCTGAGTGCGAAACAACTCATGGCACTTGGGACTTATTGGACTCACTTCCGGCAAGCAGGTGCCACATGTCCCACACCACACCAGGAAACTTGATTTCAACCAGCCCAAAACGGTGATGTTAGCTTCCAGGAGCCGTGCCCGGGCCAACCCGAGGCCCGGGCTTTGCTACGCCCTCCGCGACGGTGGAGCCGGGGGTGCTGACCTTCGTGCAGTCCAGGGCGAACTCTACCTGGCGTCGCTGAGTCATGCGGAGTCTGTGTGGGTCAGCCGGGTTTGTGCGAGGGGCTATGGTCCATTTGGGAGGGACATGGTGGGACTCAACAAAACTCCCACAACAACTCACTAGGTTGTGGCTGCGTGACATGTTCAAGAAAAAGCCCAGAATCCAACTTAAGGTGCATTTGAAGAAGCTTCAATCTCTAATGAGCGTATATCATATTTTGATGTGTTTGTCCTTGACAACATTGCCTAATTGTAAACGCTTCGCGTTGCCCGCTTCGGCCAGTCCGCTTTTGGCTGGCTTTGAGGTATACACTGTGCTTCAGTTTGCCTTGAAGTGATGCTATTAAAGTGAGCGAGTCGGCGCCGAAATGCATGAGCTGGTTTCCAAGCTAGCGGGTGGGCGCATGTCCGTGCGATTCCACCTGGCTTCAAAGGGCCAGACCAAGAGCCGCAGAGAGCTACAGAATGGTGGGCCAAGCGCAGGTCCAAATTTTTAGGGTATTGGACTGCTTTTTTGGGAGGACTTTGACGGTTTCTAGGGGGATTTGACGGGAGTTGGACCTGTTTTCAGAGGGGATTTGAGAGGTTTCTAGAAACGATTTCGGCTGGTTTCTACGGTTTTTAGGGGGGTTAACTGGCATTTGACCAGTTTTAACGGGAATTTGGCCGGTTTCTAGGGGGAGAAGGGATCTGACCTCCCGGCCCTGGAGGCCGGCTGCTTCCAGGCTCACTTCAGGCGGACTGGAGGCAGCTGGAGCAGGGATTTTGGCCGCGCGACATTGGGGGTGGGGGGGGGGGGTCGGACGGACCAATTTTGGAGTGGGGGAAGGGGTTGGGGATGGGGTTTAGAAGATCCCGAAGAGGTTCTGAAGGGGTCTGACCGCTTCCCGGCCCTGGGGGCCGAGGCGAATTTGAGGGTCCACATCCCTCAAACTGCACCAGAAGCTACTGGGCATTGCTATCCCAATTTTTCGAGCAGCAACACATGCATTTTGGTAAGGCCAGCCCCAATAAGGGAAAAAACAACATATCCATCACTGGAGAGCTGCTGTTGTAGGAATGATTAAGTCCACTTTCTCAAGCCGGTCACTACCACGCAATTATTTGTACTATTGCTATCTACAAATTCGTCGATGAAGAGCCTAGCGTACCGCTCCAGGGCATCGTCTCGAACACTAAGCAATGAAGGCATGCTCCTTCACGCATGAAGGCTCAGCTGGGCCACCGAATCCCATGGAAAGCAATTCAGACCTGCAGTTCCTGAAGCAAGATCCACCCAACCACACACACACACACACACACACACGGGCACAATGTACCGTAGACGTTACAGCGCAGCTTGGAGCAAACTCACACACACACACACACAAACCCAGCGCAGCATAGTCGTGATTTCTTGATGCCTATCGTGTTGACCTTCAGTTTCCCAAGTTTGTCCCCTACCAAGCACATATCCCTTTCTAAAGCAAGTTCCAGCACACAACACCTTGGGCGGTGGACATTTCGGTCAAACCTTACAGCCTTTGCAGTCTGCCTTGTCGCCGTCCGCGGCACCCGTAAAGGTAATGCTGGTGGCCGTCTTTGCAGTGATGGAGTCCGGAGTGATCCTGCGTTTGCTTGAGGGAACCCTTGTCAGGTTGGCTTGAAAACCACACACCCAACCCGCAAACACTCCAAACACCAAATGGCCCGGTTCCAAGAAGGACCTGGCAGCCCTTGCCTCAGTCTTTGCCAAGCCTTCCCCCCCATGTGGGAGAAACTTAGGGTTCATTTTGCAACCACCTTCTTTAGGGTATTGGTGTTTAGGGACCCTGGCGGCAAGATCGACTCTGCCCCCCAAAAAAAATCCTTCGAACACCCGGGTGAGTTTGGGGGTCCATGATCTCCATGTAAGTCTGCTGGAAGTGCAAGTGCCCATGGCACCCCCCCCCTTCCCATGCCCTCCCCTCTCCCAGTGAGGCCATGAGCCCCTGGCTTTGTAACAGCCGCGGCCCGCTGCATCTGCTTCGCCTCTGCCAGGCAGAGCAACCTCAAGGCAAAGGACAGAGACGTCAGCCAAGCAGGCTTTTGAACCCGCACTGCGAGCGAAGCAAACAGCCAGCTGACTTGAAAGACACACAAGCTAAGCATCCAATCATCAGATTCGTTGGGGATAACCAGCACAGTATATCCCTGCACTGCAGCCTTCTTGCTGGAAGCTCGGTTGCAGAAAAAGGCACCTAACATCTTTCTCTGCGATTCCCAATGGTCAACTCAAATCCGCGTCTCCATGATACTCAAGCCGAGAAGCACATGTAAAGCGGCCAATCGACGCGCCATTGTGCAGTCAACAGATTCCTGGCAAGCTCAGCAAAGTGACAACACGACATCGAATTTTACGGCGCTTCACAATTGGAGCCCAGCCAACTTTTGAAAGTCCCTGGCCCTTCCCTTTTGCTCTATTGGATCATCTTGGCCACTTCAATCGTCGTGCCATTGCTCTATGCCTTGCCCCTGACTGCACAAGACCATTCCCAACAAAAGGCGCACCCGGCCTTTGTGAAAGAGCGTGTCGGGCACACTCCAAAACACGCCTGGCCGCGGGTGAGGAGGGAGGAAGTGCACTCCGTTTCAGTCCGACAAGCTTGATTCATATCAAGCCACTCTAGACTTCACGATTAGCCATAGGCTCTTCGTGAGATTTAGTGAGCAGGTCCTGGAAAGACTGCAAGTTGGTCGTCCACAAATGCTTACCGTTGCCAGGCAAAACCTAGCACACAGGAACACTCTTCATCTGGCTTTCACACAACTCAACTTGTATGTGTGTGTGTGTGAACTTGTATTCAGGTCATCCACTTCATGGTATGGGCGCACTTGTGTCCCTGCGCCCATGCCTCGTCTAAGGCTTCAGCGGCCCAGTTTGAGCCAACGCAGCGCAGCGTGCCACAAGGCTGGAGACCTGAAGCCTGGCGGATCTTGGAGACTGTGGATGCTGTTCATGCATTTGTGCTGGTTCCATTTCATTCATCTGCAAACTTCGCTGTTGCGCAGCTGCATGTCTCTTGCTTGGGGGCCCATGACAATTCCTCACCTTTGGGTGTGTCCCCAAACTGGGCTTGTTTTCCCATTGCCTGTCTTCCTATGCCAATCTTCCTCCCAGGGTAGTCCACTCTTTCCGGGCTGACTGGAAAAACATTGTCTCAAAACCAGAAGCTCCAGCAGAACACTCCCCACGCAAGCGGCTTCCAAGTACCCCCGCTCCTTGAACAAAGGACTTGGCCAGGTCTCTTTTTCGTTCCACGGCTGCCAAAGCCTTCCCAGCCGACTGTACAAAGCCGAAAGAGGTCCTCGCTGGACGGCTCTCATGTTCGCTCACCAGGCTTCGGCCCGGCGGGCGAAAAGCCGCGGAACGCTCGCGCCCAGCTGCGCCAAGGTCAGCTCGGGCCCCACCACACTGTCGTCCAGGAGGATCTCCAGGTCTTCCCCCAGCTGCCTGTTGCACGGAAACAAATAAATGTCCAAATTCGAAGCAAGCCTTCAACTTTCTGGGACGGGGAAACTGGTAATGTTTTGCGCATGTGTTGTGCGTTTGTCATTCTGCACAGCACGGCAGACTGAGAGGGACTACGAGTAGTTTATGCCTCAAGAAGGGCACTGAGGACACATCCCACACGGCCATGTTGTTCAGGTTGCCAAACATCCGCCCAAAACTACGGCCTCCAACACCTGAATAGCGGCAACTACAAAATCAGAATCTCAGACGATGGACCCGGGACTATGAGAGCCATGGCTTAAGCCTCAAGAAGGGCGCTGCCGAAGACTCGAACCAGTCGCACCCCATGGGGCATCACAGGCACAGAGAGAGAGAGAGAGAGCGAGAGAGAAAGCGAGAGAGAAAGCGAGAAAAAGGAGAGACCCAATTTGCACTTTCCATGACTGCGACGCCTTATCCAATCTCTAGTTGCGTAAAACCTTCCACGGGAGGTTCTCAGATGCCCATGGAAAATAAGGGCAGTCCTGCCAGCGACTTCCCTCACCCAACCGCCTTGCAACCTCGCCAAGCGTGCAAGAGGGCGACAAGTCCAGCACCTGGACCTGCAGGTGTGCACCCCAGCGTGTCACAGCGCGCGCAAGTGAGTCGAGGCACACACTTGCAAACGTGGGTTTGTCCAGCCCACGCACGTGCCTAACTCACCAAGACCGCATGATGGTATCAACACGCTATCACAACCTAGGAGTCGCTCAATTCTCTGGGTTGCTCAAAAACCCATAATCCGTAGTGGACACCAATACCACAAGGGAAACCATTACCATCTGACAGAAGGATCTTGCGGATTGGTCTTTGAACTACCTCAAATTGCTGTCCGTGTTGGTGCACTCCTTGCCTCGCGCCGCAACTTCATCAGCGCGCTCCAGCAGGCGTTCTGCTCCGCTTGCTCCTTGGTTTCTGCCGGCGTGCCCCAGAAGCACCCGCCGAGCTGCTCGGAATCCACCTCGAGCGTGAGGTCAAGTTGGCCATTCGGGGGGTCATAAGAAATACCCGACTTGATACTACCAGAGTGAAGTACCCAACTTGCATCGAGTGTTGCCCGAGTTTTGCATCGTTTTCCATGCCTCTTTGCACCCCCGTTTCCCCTTCCCCCAGGCACCACGCAAAACGCGCCTGCAGTCGGCATTGCCAAAAGCTGCCTTCACCGGCGAAGCGAGGAGAGATTCGGGCAACCTGCTGCAGCTCGCTCTTGGGATCGAAGCTGCCTCGCCCAGAATCGGAAAGAGTATCGCATCCTCTGCTAACATTCCCACTTCATCCTTCATCTTCATTTATTTGCCTGGTTTTTTGGGGCTTAGATCCTACGGATGAGTGGCTTCCCGTTCAGTGTTGAGGCTGCCCGTGTTTGGATAGATTGTTCATATGCTTCGCAATTCTGGATAATGGTAAGCTTTTCAAGGAACCTGAAAGAGGCCTGCTGAGGCAACAAGCAGCAGGAAACTGGTCTGGGTGCGATTCTGACCGAAATAACACAAGTCAATCCACTGCGAATGAGGGGCAACACGCGAATTTGTCATGCGTATACTGAGTATAAATATATATATATATATATATGTGTTTATATGTATTGATTTATCTATTTGCATATGCTACACACATACGAAACAGTCAGAGTCACAATAATCACACGCACACACACACACACACTGAACTCCAAATGGAGAGCGCTAATCTTTCGAGTACAACTGATGAGTCTCGAGTACAACTGATGAGTCTCGAGTGGGTTCGGCTTGCAGTCACTTGGCTTCCGTCTAGCAGCGAACACGGTAAACGAAAGAACAAGAAGCACAAACAGCGCCGCAACCAAGGGGGCCAAAAAGGACTTTCAGAATCACTTGCAGGTACAGGAGTCTGCGTCCAAACTCCCTTCCGGCTCATTCTCACAGCTTCGTTGGCACGGCTAGAGAATGAGCTGCCGTGCCCCCTGCCTCCGAAAACGGCCCAAGGTGGTGACAGGGTATTCTGTCACTCCGCACACACACGCCCCTCAATGAGGGGCGAGGAGTCTCCTTTTCTGCAGGAAGATCACATGCTCAACTTCGTGTTCCTATCGTTGACCAAAATATCCACCGCGGCGAGGGGAACGCGAAACAGCCCTAAACCGCTCAGAAGACGGGAACGAGAGATCACCACGATGAGCATGGCGAGTGTCGCCATAGAGGACTGAAGCGAATTGCAAAGCAGTCGAGCGATCACCATCAGAAATAGGAATGGCATAGGTGAACGTTTCCTCAACAGGAATGGCATCGGAATTCTGAACATCTCCAAGTGATTGATCATGGGAATGATGTGTAGTGAAGGACTCACTTCGAGACAGAACGCGTTGGTATCCTTGATGCTGCCAGTCGCGAATGGTCCATGCCTGACCGTGTTCACCAGTACGCCCACTGGGATCAGTTACCCGCTCCACTCCCGAAAAGAATTGTCTGGTAGATCAGGTACAGTGTCTCCGTGGTGCCACCGCTGAGGCTGTCCTGGAGTATAGATCCGCACCCACTCCTGACCCTGCCAGACCGAGTATTCGAGCCATGGGTGCAGCTTCGCATCCTCGATGTCCATGTCGAAGTAAGAGGCAGGGCGTATTGCGGGTTCAGATCCAGCTAGTAAAGAAACAGGCACCATGCACAACCATGCACAAGCATCAACCAAGCAAGGTAGTGCAAGTATGAAAACCACCCCTTTTTGTATTCTGCCCAACACGCGTGAGTCTAGTCATCATTTAGCTCGAAGATAGGTTTAACCTTCGCGGTGGTGCTGCCTGATGGATTCACAGGCCGGTATGGGTCAGAGACCCCAACAGTCTCCGGTGGTGCAATTCCACGAGATGCACGTACAGGTTGGTGTTGGTGGGAAGCGTGACGTGCGCGATCTGACAGTTGTTGAGAGATCCCCTCTTGGAGACGAGTCAGATCTTCAGTGGAGAAAGCCGCCGCATCCGAGGATCTAAGAATCGCTTCCAACATCTGCGGTGACATACTCAATGCCGCGGATTGCGTGGCCACGTTGTGGTGATCAGGAAAAGACATCGAATCAAAGTCATGACCAGCTTGAGGGGCAGCGACTCTCCGGTAGCCCTCTGTAGCCCAGTCTCTTTTGTACCACATGCTGTCATTGGGCTGCGCACCGTCTTGATCCGGATTTGGGACATAGAACTCCTTCCACTCTCTGTATGTGTGAGGCGGAGGTGGAGCATCATGTTCTTCATGTAAAGTCCATGATCCCGGATGAAAGATTTTGACCCACTGGGCATCTGGTTGTTGAGGATCCGGACACCATTCCAGCCACGGCATGACAATTCAAACCCGGGAAGACAGATTGATAGGTGTACGGCTGCAGACAACAATTACTGCAAGAGACACAACAACAACCACGCAAGCAATCACTTTTGCAGCAATGCACGGCTCAGGTGTTGAAGTCCATCTCCTGAATCGAATTGAATTAAATAGACTCCCCAGGAAGACGAGGACGAGCATCAGCCACCATCTGAGTTTGAAGATGCTGACGAAGAGGTCAGTCCAGCGTACATGAGGTCCGGTGAGCCCGAAGCGAAAACTGGACGCGCAATGCTAGGGTGTGGACGACCCAGCCGTTGCTATCCTCTGGTGACCCAGTCCCGATAATGCCAAGTATAGAAGGATGCATAAGAGACCGGCTGAGAAACAGCACCCATATTGGTGCCGCCCGTGCTCTCCCTCGGCCAATACACTTCGAAGTGGCATACTTTGCGCCACTCCCGATAGGTGTTTGAGTCCTCCGGGGCAGGCCCCAAGGTGTTTTCGGCGACTGGATGCCACGGACCCGGTACATAGATCCGAATCCACTCAACGCTTGTGTTCGCGGGGCCATTGACGATGTCGTAGTCAAAGTAGTGTGGCAGGACCCATCGTGCAGCGCCATACATTGTAGAATTGAACATATCAACCAGGCAAGCCGCTCGAAGTCATAAAGGAAAGCGGCGAACACATGGAGACGGAACGCACAACACAAAGCAAGACAACCCAACATGGAATCACACTCAACGCAGGGACAACCGCTTCATTTTATCTGACATGCTACCCAAGTATCACTCCGAATCGTTCCAAGGATCATAGAATGGTGGTGGTGAAGGTTCCCGCCACGCCCCATCCGGAACAGATGAGTCCACCGAGGGATTAGCGTCTGCATTCACGAAAGTCGCAGATCCAATGGCTGGTACAGGAGCTCCAGGACGTTGATACCCTCGTGTTTGCCAGTCGCGGTACTCCCAGACGTGGTAGGACACATACGAACTGGGCGTGACGATGGGGTCCACTGTTGTTCCTCCGGTGCTGTCTTCTGACCAGTACACTTGGAAGCGATATGACCTGCGCCACTCCCGATACGTGGAAGCGTAGATTGGGGCGTGCACTATAGCATCATTGGGAACGGGCCGCCACGTGCCCGGTGTGTAAATCCGAATCCATTCCACTCCTCTCACGATCTGGTACTCGAAATAGTGAGGATTCATAGCGGCAAGACAGGTTGTGGCTGAACGCACTCGAAAATCTGCGGCGAAGACACTAAAGCAATGACAACCACACACAGCTAGAGTGTTAACCGAGGCAATGCACGGCAACTTTTCAAACTGAAAGTGAGGCACAGCAGCGAGGTTTGTAATAAGACGTTGCAAGAAACTGATCAATAAATAGGCGGTGCACCGACATCTGTGAAGCTCATACCTGTTGGCCACAGCGTGTTGAGAATGCGACATAGCGTGATTCGGAATCTGAAGGGCAATCTGGTATCGACGGTGGTGGTAGTCCAGGGAAGCAGTATTGCCAGCACGTAGAGAACATGGTCAACGAGTGTAGAAAGTTGTCCAGAGACTGCCATTGTGCAACATCATCATAGATTCCACAGCGGCGAAGCTCAGCCAACATGGTGAACATGCAACCAATGAAATCTACCGTGAGGCGGCGACATGAATACAAGCTGCACAGAATATCACGCACAAGACAATGCAAGCACAGTCAAGCACAAGATCAAACTAACGCAAAGCAAGAAGATGACGGACGAGTTTTAAACCTTGACTCATCCGTGACACGGCTGCCGCTCCGGGCTCATAAGTGCACGAAGTTCGTCAAGGTGCCTGCTCATCCGCTGAGTAAGCGAGCGGTCACGATGAGGTGACTCAGCGCCTTCTCAGTGAGCTTGGTGAGATAGCCGGGCTCCAGTCCCCACGAAGCCGCCATCGCCCCGAGAGTGGGTGCGTCGCCTTTTGGCATGCGTTGACGTGCCTGAAGGAGTTGCGTCGCCATGGAACCCAATGACTTGTTGCCGTTGAGCCGGGACGGGTGATTGGCCCACTTGACCAGTGACGTCAAAGTTGTGGTTGTGGGCGATTGCTTGAGATACAAGCGTGGCTGGTCACTGGTCCATGTGTAGTACTTGACAACTTCTTCCGGCGTGCTGTGCATGGTGAGCAATTGAGAGGCCGCCGGCTTGGACGGTGGTGAAGAAACTCCGTGAAGAGACTGAATGATCCGGGGCTGCGCCGCGCTATCAAACGACTTGCCATCAAGGGCCGCTGCGCTGGCCGTAGGGAGGGAGCTGGCAGGCGACGAGGATTGTGTGTGGTTGACCGGTGGTGGTGTAACCAACTCTGCATCATCTTTCTGGCTTGCCACCGTGGCGGAAGTCGAAGCGCGCAGCGATGCTGAATACTGAGCCTGGAGCAGTTCATGAGCACGATTTAGATCATTGTACTTCTTGACCATGTCATCTGTCTGGGCCTGTCTGGGTGGGAGGCGTGAGAGATGCGTGGTGTTGTTGAAGAAATTGAAGTACCAAGTTGGCCAAATGGTCATGAACCTTGATCCGCTGATTGAAGTCATCGAGGTTGAGTCCCAGCGAATTGGCAAGGTCCTTTTCCAGGGTGAGCAGGTTGATCGACTGTGATCGTCGTAGTAGTTTGGAACAGGTGCTCCAAAGCAAGGCCTCAGTGCGAGTGCGAAAGCCTTCCCACGTCACGAATCTGCCGTGAGCGAACGGTCGGAGCAGCCAGTTGGTGAGGCCCCCATGAATAACCTGAATCAGGCGAACGTCACGAATGTCCATGCCTGACATGTCGCGTTGGTTGCTATGCGGAGTGTTGGCAACCGTCATGGGCAGGCTGAAGTTGTAGAGCTGATTGACATCTAACATGCCATCTCCAGGTGTCCAGTCAGGTGATGGTGTAAGCCAGGCTTTCTGAGGACGAACCGGTAGAGCAGCAGGAGGTCCAGGTGGCGGTATAGGTTGCGAGGTAGTGACCGGTGGTGACATCACGGACGGCATGAACTTCGTTGGCGTGGGCTCTGGAGGAATCGGCATCATGTAGTTGATCGATGGATGTTGGAACTGCTGCGTGGGACTAGGGATCGATTGAAAATTGGTGGGCATCATCGGGAAATTGTTGGCGGAGTTGTAGCCAGAATTGTGTTGCCAAGATACCAGGTTGTTCCAATCCATGCCCTCCGAGACGTGGTGGTCATTGTGTTCACGTCGGTGTGCTTTACGAGCTTGAGGAGAAGTACTCCGGTCGCGTCTGCGCCGAGTCCTGGATCTATCACGATCATCACGTCGAGACATGGTGACGCAACCAACTCTCAATCTTCACACTTCCACCTTGAGAGAAACGAATCCGACAACATGCAAATCAATGCAAATGCAAGTCATCGGCCCCCAGCTGCGATGGTTGAAGAAATGGATCCGACAAAAGGTGAGTCGATGCAAGTTGATGTCAGCGTCCATCATCAGCATTGGTGCAAGAAATGAATCTGACAAATGAAAGGCAATGCACGGTCAAGTCAGCAGCAATCAACCGCGTGGTGAGAGCAACAAATCCAACAAATGGAAAGCGAATGCGATGCAACTAAGCAGCCGTCTGCAGCTATAGTGAATCCGACAATTACAAGACAATGCAAATGCAAGTCAGCAATCTTCAACCGCTATGATACGAGCAACAAGTTCAACCAATGGCAAGCCAATGCAATGAAAGTCGGTAGCCAGCAGCTGTGGTGAGACGTCACTATGGTCTGATCGCTGTCTTCCCTTTAGTGAAACCTCGTTCCTGGTTAAATGTGAAATTCCGCTGTTCTATGATAAGCACGTTGAGGTCAAATTTTCCGACAGAGCCGGCCCGGGGTCACACAATGGGTACACCCGAGGATTCCCCACGAATGGGGTGTACACACTTGAACTCCAAATGGAGAGTGCTAATCTTTCGAGTACAACTGATGAGTCTCGAGTACAACTGATGAGTCTCGAGTGGGTTCGGCTTGCAGTCACTTGGCTTCCGTCTAGCAGCGAACACGTTACCCGAAAGAACAAGAAGCACAAACAGCGCCGCAACCAAGGGGGCCAAAAAGGACTTTCAGAATCACTTGCAGGTACAGGAGTCTGCGTCCAAACTCCCTTCCGGCTCATTCTCACAGCTTCGTTGGCACGGCTAGAGAATGAGCTGCCGTGCCCCCTGCCTCCGAAAACGGCCCAAGGTGGTGACAGGGTATTCTGTCACTCCGCACACACACACACACCCGCGCGCGCGCAGATTCAAGGCCCTCTCCCCGGTCGAGCGGCTGCAATGACTGGGGGGCTCCAGCAGAAGCTCAACACGCACCAAGCCAGGCGGAGCGCCGCCTGACCAGAAAAACGGTAAATGCTAGGGTTCCCGCAAGAAGTTTGGGGTAGGAACGGCTTTTTGGGGCTCAAACAAAACTGTACTGGGGTGTGTCCAGCAGACCTCAAAAATGGGTTTGGCTCCTCTCAGAGTGCCACGGCAGTTGGATGGTTTGCCTTGCCAATGGGGACTCGGGGTCAGCAGATTGGGATTGCGCAGCCTCTTTGTCTGCCACGAAGCACAGGTTTGGTTTTTCCCTCAGACAAGCAAGGGAAAATGAAGCAAGACCCCGAGTCCCTTGTGCTCTTCCAAAGTAAACTGCGGACAAACAACTACAGCGTCTCAATTCGGTGCAGTCATTGACTTGTCAGGGACCTTTAGCCAGGTGGGCATCTTCACTAATGTTCCGGTGCCAGAAAAGAAACACATGGTGGTATGACTTGTGTCACATGCCGAGCGTAGCTGCGCAAATCTCGCATTTGCAACTGAGGCTCCGTGGGATTCGTGGGATGGCATTGGCAAGTCCAGCTCCGTCTCCAGCATCTGCCAAGAACGGTCAGAGCGCGGAGATTGTGACTCCTTGCTCAGGGACTGGTAAGCATTGGATGCGGATACTTAAATCTCCAAGCCTTTGTTCTCCTTGCAGCCTCTTAGAACCCAAACCACCAGTTCAGTGCCCATTGCACCTTGGTTTTGATGGACACCAAAAGGAAAACCGAAATCCACGGGAAAAAAAGACAGCCCTTCAGCACCCACCGCCTCAGCCAGGCGCACGAGGCCGCGGATGGCCGCCGCCGCCGCGCCGCGCTTCGCGAGCCTCTTGGTGTTCGCCGGGCCGCCCACGAAGCGGCGCCCGGCCACCACCACGGTGGTGCGGAAGGGCGGGCTCTCGCCGAAGTCCTGCACGCAAAACAAAAAGAAGAACGATGAAAAAAATAAACGGAGAAGCTTGCTGACAAACAAAGCGATGATTGTGATGATGATGGTGATGATGATGGTGATGATGATGATGATGATGATGATGATGATGATGATGATGATGATGATGAGCTTCAAAAAGAGAGTTTGTCCAAGCAACAATACTCTCCCAACACACTTGCCTAGCCTGGCAACATTGCCCACAACTTGACTTTGGGCTATGGCATGGTCCTGGTAGCTGACCGGCACTTCCTCCTCAGAGCCAGGGCGCAGGTGGCACTGCAGTGCTTCCTGCAACAAGACCACGGCGGTTTCCTCCTCCTCACGGCAAGGGTTCCTCAGATGCGCCGGAGAAAGACGCTGCTCCCAGGACTGAGCGGCCTGAGTACTGGAGTAAGCCCACTGCAAGCGATCCGGCATAGGTATCTCAGAAGTCAGGCCTCCAGCTCTGGTCTCCAACAAAAGCAGTTCCCGTTGGCCGCTGGCCCCAACCTACAGGCCACTGAAGTCATTACAAGACCTGAGAGCAACATCCACACCTCATTGCAGAAATCGTAGACCCGCTCTCGCTGATCTGAATTGTGGGTGGTCCTAACCTCTCTTTGGAAAAGCTAGAGCTCACTTGCGGCCTCAAAGTACCAGCACTTTCACACGGACAAAAATACTCCCCGATGTGAAATTTGGGTGGCCCCCGGTTTGTGCTCGCCGAACTAGCAATCGACCAGAAACTTGGTCAGTGACTCAGACCATGCCAAGTCTCTTTGCCAGGCTCTGCCCCACCCGCCTCAGCAGATCCGCAAAGTCGTGCAGGCGCTCACGGGGCTCCCCTGGCAGCGCGCTTGCAAGGCTCAAGGGCTGGCCAACCTCGCAGCTCGTCTCTCCGTCCGGCATGAAGGTCGACTTGGGCTCCCGTTCGAGGCTGTCCATTGACTTCAACTGCTTGGGCTCAACCAGTTCACCCGAGCTTCTGGCCTTTGCGCTTTTCGGCCCAGGGCCGGGCCCTTCGCTTCCTGCGCACGGCACTGCCGAAGGCACCAACGACGCCACCTTCTCCAAGATCTCCGCCGAGCGCCGCAGCATCTCCGAGGGCGGCAGTGACATGCCCGGCTCAAACTCGTTTTCGCCCGCCAAGAGCTGGCAAAGCTCCTGACCAGGGTTGGGCCATTTGCTTTTTGTCTGGAGGATCCTGGTTCCCGATTAAGTGATGTTTAAACACGCTTTAAGGAGTTGAATCGCCCAACCCCGCCTGCCGCACCAGCGCCACGCTGGCTCCATGCGTGGGCCACACGTCGCCGTACCGCTCGGTCTGCTGGAGCTTACTCTCGAACTCTGAGGTGCAGTTGATCGCGTCCACCTCGACCCTCGAAGCAAAGCGGCGCTTGAAACCCCAAACTCACAAGAATCTCGCCCCGGAAAAAACGAAGACATTAAAAAGCCATCGCACACGTTCGCCCAAGGTGCTCCTGCAGCCCGATCAGCGGCTTCACCACCTGTGCGATTCTTCCCCCGGAGTTCAAGACATGCTTTAAACAACATGCAGATGAAACCTCTATTCAACGCCTGGTTTAAACCTTCCAAAGGGAAAACAACCCCCTTTTACTTTCCCTTCCAAGGAACTGGACCAGGGGTTCATTGTTTAAACATTTCTTTCAGCCAACCCTGGCACCTTGAAGGCGAAGAGCCTTCGGTTGTCCGCGGACAGCCACCGCCGCTGCTGTGGGTGCCAAGTGACCCGCAGCGGCGGGAAGCTGTCTGGCCGTGTCCGGCTCAACGCCAGGTCCACCATGGCGGCCATAACGCTTTTTCCGTTGGAGAAGGTCCGGTTCACAGTGGCCTGGGGCAGACGCGCCAACCCACAAAAGACCGGGAGTGCTGACACATGGGCAAACATTCACATGAAAAGCAACAGGGGAAATGCAAGGTGAGAAGCCCACTTGACATCATGCGCAAACCACCTTGAAAGGCCACCGGTGATCGTAACATGCAAAGGTAGCAAAGCTTGGACGAGAACTTTGACGGGTCAGAACACGCCCTTGCATCGGCCTGCGTGTTGTGGATGCACTCGGGATCCAGCCTCTGCTTGCCCAGGCTCACCTACCAAAGATCGGGCAAGGGCCTTCAGGTTGCAAGTTGCCATGCTCTTGATTTCGTGTGTTCAAAAGCTTCAGGAGAAAGGCCGGAGCGCGAGTTTCTACGTTCCCGAGATCCAAAACATTGGAGAATCAATCCTAATCCGGAACAGGAAGTGGAGGGAAGCCAGTACCATCTGGCAGAAGGAAGGATCCACTGCCCAGTTGGTCCTGGCCTGCTCCGCTCCACTGGCATGCCGAAGCCGCTCCGACTCGCCGCTATGGGTCTCAGACTGGCCAAAGCGCAGGGAAAGACCTTGGACGGTCTGCGGTCCGAGCACTGGGCAAGATGTGGGTCGTGGTCATGGTTCTCTTGAGGGCTTTTGCTTTGGTGGCCTAAAACCTATTAAGAAGTTGATGATGTTTGACTCTTTGACCATGGTGCTCGGCCTGTGAGACATCCCGGAACGAACATGGTCACGGGGTGATGTGGCGGAAGCAGCAAAAGGATCCTTGTTGCTGCTCTGCCTTGATACCTGAGCGTTCTCTTGGAGGTAACAATCGCATCAAGGCCTGTGGGATATGCCGATGCGTAGAGCTTTCATGGTCCAAAACATCTCTCCCGTCTGGCTGAGCACCCTTGAACTCCTTACAGACTGGTCACCGGGCTGGGACGGACAGTCTTCCCAGAGCGCCGCTTGCACGTGGCGCGCTGCTCCGTTGTGCTGGTCGAGCCAGCCCAGGGAGTGCAAGACCAGCACAGACAGGTACCTACAGCCGACTCTGGCGCGTGAGCCACGGTCAGAAGATGCGGTCTGGTTTTCGTGGGAACTTTGGTGAGCCCATGCCCCTCCCAGACAAGGCCACGCCCTCCCGTCCTTTGGACCTCTCCTTCGGCCAAGACGCTTCAGCGCCACCTTACTGTCCACCTGCACTGGGCAGGCCTTCACCAGGTCCGCGGCAGCAGACTCGGGCACGCGGATGCGCTGGGGCCCGGGCAGCAGCAAGGCATCCTCCTCCAGGAGCTTGCTGAGGGAGACGCCTGCGAATGGAAATCCGAAAGAGAGGTAAGAGGGGTAGACAAGTGCTAAAAGCAAGTGATGGCACTGGCCTGCAACCACGCTGGCGTACTCCGCCAAGATGCGGTGGGCGTTCCTGAAAGTTTGCTCTGAGGAATGATTTGCAAATGGAGCAGCCGTTACTGTGAACAAGAGAATCAGGGATGAAAACTTTGGTTTGAAGAAGAACGACTTCTTCCAGAGGGGGGCAACAAGGCCATTCACTCTGTCGCTGTTTTGGAATTCAGTGACTCAAGTAAGGAAGGGCGTCCCCCAGTGGCAGGGCTCGCCTCCAAAACAGTTTTGAACCCACCTCTGACCGTTCCATGAAATCTCCTGAAGTTCACCTCGGCGCCAGTCACCAGCAAGAAGGGGTGCACCGGGCAGCGTGTGCAGAAGTCTGGCGTCGCCATGAGCGGCACCAGCTGGCCCTGACCGAAGAGACAAACGGCATGGGGAACCCAAAAAAGGCCCTCACAAGGAGGCTCCCAATTCCAAGAATTCAAGCATCAATGTCTTTTCCTTTAGCTTAGTGACTGATGCAAATCAAAAGACATTGCTCATTTGGCCACATGACCACTACAATTCACCATCTTGATGAAAGAAACCCCCAAGGAAAGGACCTTCATAAGTGAGGCTCGTTTTACCCCCGGATCAGTGAGCTCCCTTGCTCAATCGACCAGCTATATGCATTTGCATACGAGGACCGCACTAACCAGAATGCTCCCCGCGTTTGGCCCTTTTCCTCTCTTAAAGCAAAACTCCCCGGTGAATCTAGAGGTTTAAGAACAAAGTCAACAACACAATCTGGAATGCCATCATGTCAGGCATCATCCCCTCCCCAACTCCTGGGAGTGTGAGAGCGGTTCCTGTTGCAAGTGAAAACTTTGGAGAACGAAACAGGCAAAAACACTGGGTCAAGCTTTCAGGCAGGCGACTCGCGGGTGATTGCGCTCTCTCCCGCTCAGTGTCTGCTCGGGGATCGAACCATATCCGGCCGAATATAAGCAGTTGGTGGTGCGCTGGTAAAACAAAGCAGGCCTTTGAAACACAATAAATGCCTTTCCTGCTTTGGAGAAGCATGCAACATGGAAAACCTGGAAACGCCCTGGCACCTGCGGCTCGCGGGCGATCTTGTCCATTACCTGCAAGGAGAGGTCAGGATCGAGGTGAAGCGCATAACTGAATAGATTGCCACCCATGCCTGATGTGACGCAAGGGCGATGTCCTGTCGTAAGCAAAAATATTGTGAACGTTGGCCCATGGATGAGAGACTCACTCTACCCTCCCCATATTAACATGGGAGCTCCGAGGACCCCTCTGGCAGACTGGGTTCCGTTTACATGGGAACTTCCACGTTAGTCTGAGGGAGTGTACTCAAGTCTGCGCAAGGGCAAGTCAGGGCTGTGCGGCGAGCAAACACCAGATGGACAATTGGGACTCGGAAACCAGTCCCGACTTCTAGATGCTGGTGAGGCACAAAGCTCGCCACAAACCATATGTCGTGTTTGGATAGTATTCCAAAAGAACTCGATGTCATCTAGCTTCGGTGTGTCGCGAATCGCTCTCTATCGAAGCAGTCTCGGCAAGAACACACATCTGCAAATCCTACTTGGCTATTCAAATGTGCGCAGGATTGTTGCGCATACCTTGCTCGCTTCATGCCTCAACCAAAGCTTCAAGGTGCAAAAGTAACAAAGCCCTGACTGAGCCTTTCCATGTTGAGGTCACCAAGTTGTGCAAGTGTCTGTAGCTATCTGCCTACTCCGCATGTGTTGCAGTTCCTTCTCCACCTAGCTGTCAGCCTCAGAATAAGGACCAAGAAAGGAACCTGTGGATAGTGTCTCCATAAAGGAGCCTTCAAAGCGCCTTTCTTTTATAGGAAACCAGGAAGTCGTCTGTTGAAAACCCATGCGAGGTCAAGGGCCCAAAGGGAAATCGACGAATTCACCCACTAGTTTTTGAGCGTTTCTAATCCGATCCCTATTCCGTTGTGGACACCACGACCATTGATTTTTGGACAACCCAGTCTCTTGCAGGTTCTCAGTAAGTGTTTTCGGAATGAATCTGGGGACTTTCTCAAAATACAGCTGGACGTTTCAGTGTGTGCCACTCACCGATCAAACCTTTGCCAAAGCATGCGCCACTCGCCGGGAACCTCCCGTGCCCGCCTCGGCAAGGTAGCACTCCAACGGCGGCTCGTTCTCGAAGTACAGCACCCGTGCGGACAGCGCTCGGGCGCGCCCAACGCCCTGCACGTGGCTGCGGGTGGTGTCGAAGCCACAGAAGCGTACCACAAAGCTGCCTGAAGGCCCGACGTACCCAGCACATTGGGAAGTTGAGGCCCCAAGCTCCTGGTCTTTGTGGGAAGTCTCCTCCCAGACTAAAGAAGACTACCTGCAGTTTTGTCAGCTGCTCGTGGGATTGACATGTCTGAGGGATCTCCTTGTTGGGGCCCTTTTGAAAGGACACTCAATGACTCAAGGGCAACCCCCCATTTCATGTGGCAAAGCCGCCCTGTCGGTTGAGAAAGGTTTGGCCTTGGGTGGCAACCTTGCCAGGACCCCTTCCTCCTTCCTCTGACGCTCATGATGCTAACCGCGAATCCTGAAGGAAACTGAAGGGCCTTGAAGGAACCTGAATCAGTCTTCTGTTCAAATAATTATGCCAACTCCGCCGTTTCGAAACCGAGTTCTGGGCCGCCAGGCACTCAGCGACATCAAGGCCTTCCTCTGCGCAGGTGGTGCAAACCAGAAGCCGTATCCGGCTTTGGCGGAAGTCGGCAAAGGCGGCGTTTCCTCAGCGAGTCGAATGCGGCACCGCTTGAATCCAATGGACCGAATATGCAAGCCCAATCGGCCAGCTGCGTATGAGGTTTGAACATGCATCCGTGGAACGTGCTTTCCTAGATCGCACCTGTTCAAATGCTGACGAGTTAGCAGCCGCCCGAGCAGCGCTGCCGCTCGGGCATGCTGTTGACACCGCTCACCACACCCACGGGCACGCCCTCCAGCCGCTCGGTGAGCAGCTTAGCCAAGGGCAGCGCAAACACCACCTAGTCTCCGAGTGTCCGAAGACATGGCGAAATTCCCCGCCCCGCCTTTTTTTAGAGATTTCAGTGAGCCTCCAAATGCCAGACCTGTAAGGTCTGCTCGCCTCGCATTGAAGGAGTCCAACAAACAAAATCTCTGTACAGCACCGGACTGCTCGACGTCTGCCAATCTGAACCAGTGACTCCTAGTAGTTCCGTAAGTCTGAGTTCAAGAACAAAGTCCAATGTCTAGCCCAAATGTGGCCAGTGCTAGTTAGTGATGAAAGCATTTGCCAACACCGGGAAACTGTGTTGATTCTCGTAGTTGATAAACGTATCTGCAAAGTAAAATCCAAGAGGAAGAGACTTCAGCATGGCCCAACAAACAACCTTGCTAATAAGCCATAGTGTGTGCCACGCGGTCATGGCTCCCTTAGGAATGTTTGCCTTGGTTGTCCAAAGTCCCTTCCAAAGGGTCCATGACCATCCCAACCCCACAAGGGTGGGTTTCACCAGGGCACACTCGACCAAAGAACTCCAAGAGCTGAGCCCCGCCTGCGACACGAAGACCATGCCGCAGCTGCGGCTTTGAGCCAGTTCCTGCTTCAAACAACGCAGAAGCGCCTCCACCTTCGGCGAGGTGGCAGGCAAACTCCTGCACAAGTTAGAACAACACAAACATGAAAGACATGGACCAGCCCTCACCCTGTACGCCGTATGCTTCCGTATGCCTTATGCCTCCAGCAAGTTGTTTCAATCAGCAGGCCTTTCCCAAGCCCTGCGTCCTCAGTGCTGGCTGTTGCTTCATCTCCTCCAGTGTATCTGGCAAGTGCTTCTCCAGGCTGCTGATGTCGGCCTGCGAGAATCCCCCTCGACTCCGGACAAGCGGCACGCTCATCCTCAAAAGCTGCTCCCTCCGTCTCAAAAAGGTCTCCGAGCGCAGTGACATGTGGCAGAAGCAAGGCTAAACCCAAGGAGCTTCCAAGAGGGAACGTGCAAAGCATGGGTCAATCTTGCTTGTAAGCCACCCTGGGTACCCCAAAAAGAGACACACCCTTCCTTTCCTGGTTCCCAGGGAATGAAACCAAAATGAATCCAATCGGCACAAAATTCCTGCCTGGACCGCCTTTGCTGCCTGCCCCATCGCAGTCATGTGCCTGTAGTTGTCCAACTTCGCCTCGAGCTGCGCCAGCAGACCATCCCTGACCAAGGGCGGCCAGGGTGACATGCCCCCAAATTGCCCTCACCCATATAGTCTCATAGCTTAGTAGTTATTTAAGGAGGAGCGGGTTGAAACCCCGTCCCAAGAGTAATTTCGAGACTTCCTTCGCCTAAAATGCCCTTCGAAGAAAGTTTTCGAGCATGTCACCGACCAATCGCCTGATGCCATAAAGAAAGCCCGTGCGCCCAAGCTCTCGCAGTAGGCGCTTCAGCTGCTCCAGTAGCTTCTGCAGCAAGGGCCGCTGGAGGCGCTGGCTGACCACCTCGCACAGCTCACTGGCGACACGGTGCGCCTCCTGCTCGTTGGTGAGACTTGGATACCTGAGCAGAGTCACCACCCAAACCCTCGTGCTTTTCCAGCCGAACACCGTCCCTTGCTAACCGTCTCAGGCTTTAATTCTGACTTGCATGGGTTACAGGGAACCACTAAGACACCCTTTGTTGCTCACTAGGGGGTTGGTCAGGAATTTAGTGGAGATTCTTAGGGCGGAGCGAAATACGGATCATGTTTGGGGGAGCTTCATGAAACCGGGGTCAATGTTGTGACGAGCTGCATCCTGAAAGGATTGTGAATCAAAACCGTCTTTGTGGCCATGTCACGTCACCCGATGAAATGTCGGCGGCTGCCGCCGCGGAACACTACAGCAATGCATCTTCGCTTGAAGAATTGCCTGCAACAGAGGCAAGCCGCAAGGAAGATGTCTGACATCTCCCAAATACCTAACTTTTGCTTCCAGCGCAATGCGGCTAATTCTGATGAGAAGCAGCTTCTCAAATGCTTGGCGGCCAAATCCATCCCCAAGCTGATACCCATCCCAGCCCTTGGAACAGCCCAGGCACCTTCGGCCTCAGACCCCTTCTCCGGTGCCTGCAGGTTGTTGCGGCTCTCCCGGAACTCCTCTTCGCTCGTGGCCTTGCAGAAGCTCAGATGGCTGATCAGACAAACAGGACGGGAAAAAAACAGTCCGCCTTCATGCGTCGGGTTGGAACAACTACGCTCGTGTGTTGGCACAAGCCTTCTACACTTCTTACGATGTCGGATTGAGTAATTCGTTGAAACGTGCAACAAATTGAAGCAGACCTGCTAGGATTTTTCTTATTGCACGGAAACCTCAGATCCAGGCAGCCCCCGGGGCACCTGAGGCACCCACCTTCTCGTTGGCGAAGGAGGCAGTCAGGCCCAGCACCCGGACCGATCCGGGGCTCGTGCAGTGCAGGCGCTGCAAAAGCTCCGCGCCGGGGCTGTTGCCAGTGGCCCGGTGGCACTCGTCCACCACGAACAAAGAGAAATCCTCGAAGGAGAGAACTCCTCAGGGTCACGCAGTGCGTGAAGAACATGCAACAGGGAATGCAGAAGGACCGTACTGGGATGCCAAAGCTGGGCAAGGGGAACTTACAAAGCAAAGGAGTTGCATGCGCAAGAGGGAATGCGCAAGGCAGTGAGGGCTTGCGATGGTTTGGAAGGGGCTGAGATTTGCCAGGCCGGGAAGATACACCCAGTTTCCACCACGCCAGCCTGTTGAAGGGAGGGGGCCCACCAACTTGACAGCGCTAAGGTGAAATGTCTGATGTCCCAAATCGAAGCGTCAAAATGTGAACAAGATTCGAAAAGCTGGGTCGAGATCCGAGAAGTAGAAAAGTCCGGCCCGAAATCCAAACTATCAAAAGCTTAAAAATGTCAGGTCAAAATCCGAGAAGCCGGAAAAATCGGACCAAAATCTGAAAATTCGAAAGTCAAAAAGTCCGGACAAAGACCATCCAAAAGTTGAAAACTCGGGCGGGGGGGGGGGGCACAAAGCATTGAAATTTGGATTACTTAAAGTAAATGCAATTTCCCATTAGCACGCGTTGCTGGGCCTTGGGCCAAAGCAGATCATGCAGACAACGGCGACAATCCTCACCTCAGCGATCCTTGCAGCTCATGCAGGTCAGCTCGCTAAACACTGCGATTTGCTTTTCCGACAAAAGGCCGAGAAAGTGTGAGGCCCCTTGCCCGCGCGCGGCAAGTCTGGCGCACTCGCTCCCCACTGAGACCCTGCGCTGCGATTGGCAATCAGCGCGCATCCCAGGGCGCTGGTGCACCATTTCCGGCCACAGATCTCTGACGCGACCACACATGAGGTTCAGAAGCTGCTCGCTCGGCCGATCTTATTCGATGAACACTTAGAGGGGCTGATGTATCTTCGTAAAAAAAGCCTTGCACAGCTCGTTCACGTTCGCATCGAACCCCGCAAAGGAGGACTCATGAATCAAATCCGCCTGAAAGACAGGGGCGGCGTGCATTGCTTCGCGGCAGCGCCGCCAGTTCGGGTCTGCCTTTAACACTGCGAACCGCCAACCAGCGAGCATCCCAAAGCATCCCTTGACTGGTACCGCGTGGCACCGAACGCTCAGTCGGACATGCCGGACTCCCTCGATCCAGTCTAAGCTGAAGCGGAAACTCACCCTGAGGGGTCGCAGACGTCGTCTGCCGTATGGTTTTCTGGCTAAATCTGTATAATAAAAAAGGCCCCAAGCAAAGAAGGAAGACAGCAACCGCCCCCGAAAGTCGGGTCGAAGTCCAATATGTCAAAAAGTCGGGTTCGAAACTCAAAAAATCAATAGTCGAAATGTCAAAAAGTCGGGTCAAGATCCGAAGTTGAGAAGTCAGGATCGAAATCTGAAAAATCCGTAGTTGAAAAGTCGAAAACCTTTTGATTGTTGAGTTCCCCAATAGCATTTGTCCGTCAAAAGTCGAAGTATTGGAAAACATGTTCCAAAGGTTGAAAAGTTGAAAAGTTGAAAGTGTCGAAAGGTCAGGGTTGAAATGCGAAGTATCACAAAGTGGAAAGCAGGAGCTCTTTGACTTGTTGGATTGAATTCCCGATTTCTATTTGTCTCAGTCTTGATAGTCAAAATATTGGACACCAAAACTTGATTGGGCTGAAATCGAAAAGTTGAGAAGCCGAAAAGTCAAAAAGCCAACAAGTCAGATCAAAACCCGAAAAGGCGAAAAGTCGAAAACTAAACTGTTCGACTTGTTGACTTGTTGAAAGCGAAAACACAGATGTTCGGCTTGAGCTAGCAACACTGCAGTGACAGCTTTGCAAGTTTAGGAGGTGCCCGCTTTGGTTTGTCGATTCAGCACAACGGAACCCTATCAATCTTTTCAAGCATCCGCGGTCACAGAGGGCACGGGCAAAGATCTCGATGGTGCCCACGAGCACCTTTCAAAATCAGGGTTTCTCATGTTTTCGAGTGCCCCAGTTGGGTATGGGTCAAAATTAAACCACCAGGACACCACAGGTTTTAGTCATTGTTTCCATTTACCAGGGTGCCGTTTTGGGTTACCCTATTTTTGACCCACAGCCAGTTGTGTGTTGCATTCAGCATCAACGGGAGCAAGATAAAACAAGCAACCACCAGGTGGAGCCAAGTTCAAAGCGAAGAGGGACATGCGCAGCGGAAGCCGGAGCCCAGCCTTGCTCCGCTTCACACAATCGCGCCATTGGGTCCAGCCCCAGTCGAAGGTCGTATAGCCGGTCACCTCGCCAGAGGTCAAACAGGCGTTGAGAAGAAGCGGGAGTGACCATAGCTTGGACAACTACCATGAGACTGTTCAACAGGAAGCTCTTATGATTCGCTTCCCAACGTCATTTTCATGTCTCACATAACCACGGTCAAATATGTGGTTTCCCCACCAAAGGACACGGGAAAAACCACCGAATGCCCTGGTTTGTGTGTGTGGGACGTTGAGAGCTCGTCCTCCCAAATCGACCATAGATAATTCAGGACTGCCAAAATCCCACATCAAGCCGATTGCTGCTAGTGGGTCTGCACGAATGTTAGTTCCCTCGGCAGATCAAACCCTTGCGAAATAAACTTGTGCCCACCCACTCAGGTCTCTTTTTCTTGCTCGCAGCAAGCCATTTTTCTGGGATCAGAACCAACTCCCCTGTGAAGGGGCTGCTTTCTTGCTCCGAACCAAGCACGGTTCAAACAAACTTGCACGCGCAGAAAACAAACAAACATCTCTAGAAAATACACTGTTTGTACTTGTTGCAACTTCCCTGAAGCAAGTTTGCTTCAAGTTTCTTGCGGGAGGGGAAAAGACTAGAAGCTCAAGCGCCCGCTTCAAAGATCAAGCTAAGTTTCAGGCAGCGCAAGCATCGGCTCTGTTTGTAGAAACAAACATGCGCAGACTCCATCCAACTCACCCGGCTCAAGCTCACAAAGTCTTGGTTAATCGTGGCTCAAACTTTCTTGGGCTGCAATGCTTGGTTCTTGCCGAGATTCTAAAGCATGCCCCTGCAGGGTTCTTTGTTGACTTCTTCCAGGTAGACCTAAACCCAGGGTGGTTGATTTCCCCACAAGTCTGCCTTGGCTTCTGAAAAGCATGCATGGAAGCCTGTGCATCTGCAGTTGGAAGCATCCGCCAGCCTCTGTGACGCTTGTTGCGCAGGAGTCCGCCAGCCGGAGACACTGCTGGTGTGCCAGCAGCCGCGTGGCGGTCCTCTCGAGGAACTTTCGGTTTCTCACGCAGTCACGTCGAGGACCCCGAAAATCAGATCATGGAAACCCTCCCTCAAAAAACAGATACCCACATATGTCACATATGGTTGCTAGGTTCAGAGGTTGCTTTCAGACGGCTGGCTTTGGGCTGATGGATGTCCTGTGCACACCCCTCACATGGCATCCAGTTGGCATTTGCGTTCCGTCTCCCTTATCTGGGTTACACTTTCCTATACCCTCACAAAGCCAACAAGAAGCCAGCCAACTAAGCGTACAACTGCAAAACGCGATGGCTCCAGAAGAAGACGGTCAAAGTCGGAAAACCCGAGCAGCAAAACCATCAACTCTGGCCCTCCTTTCGCACGCTGAGGCTCTGGCACCATAAAGGCGCAGCACTTCATTGGCTGCTTTCTCAGAGACTCCTATCAATCGGTGCGGTTGTCAATACTCGGGCCAGACAGCTTGAAAACAATCTCCAGCTACAGATGAGTTAATACATGAGCCAATCTCAAAAGTGGCGTTCCAATGGGGACAAATACAAACCTGACAGTGCGGATGAATTTGGCTCACGACACCTGGCGGGTCCTTGATGGCCAGCTCAGCCACCATCGTCTTGCCGCTGCCCGTGTCCGCGTAGACAATGATGTTCTCGAGGCTTGCCGTCCGCGCGGCCTCCGCACATATGCTATGCGTCTGGCATAATGTATAATGTGGTGCAATGAAACCGGCACGGAGCGACAAACCCGCTAAAAAAACAGTCCCACCTTGACCCACCAAACCTTTCCGTAGTAAGGATCCGTAAGGCGTTTGGCAGAAGCCCGGCGCCCTTCCTTCTAGGCTGCAAACCGGCAAACACCAACGCCTGAACGGCCCGAAGCTGGCAAGTGAGCAGCGTTCAGAATTGAGACATGGCAAGTCGCAGACCTTTGGCGCTCTGTGGATTCTCTGGATCCGCTAGCATTCCTCACGCCTCCAGCTGCCAGTCCCTAGGCTCCATGGCGGAAAGCCCAGGTCCGGGATGCAATGGCCCGTGAGTCTGTGACTCAGCTGGACGCACTAAACGAACCACAAACGGATGCACCCTTCAGAAAAACGAGTTCTTTGAAGTTGGCCTTTTCAGGTTGGTTTTAAGGGAATCCAAAATGAAAGTTTTGGGGTCCTCCTATTTTGACGATACCCTAGCTTTCTACGTCATGGTGTGGGTCATGGTCACGGTTCCCTTACGAGGAATCCTTCTCAGGGTCTTACTTAAGCGTCCATGACCATTCCTATTGACTCCAGGATTGCGGGTCTTTGACGATGGCACGCATCTAGTACTACATGTACTCAATGTACGGGATGAGAAGCACGTGTGGTATATGTGGCAAAAGTACATGGAGTAAATGCATGTGCCATGAAGTACAAGAAGCAACAGGTTTGTCGTTGAGACACTGAAGGCGCATTGCGCTTGCGTTTCTCTCTGCACCATCCAATGGTGGTGCGGCGCCTGTTCTGCGCAAAGGAGCCCTGCAAGCTGTTCTTGAGAAGCGGCGGGCTAATCAAAACCAGTCCGAATCATGTTGAATTGGGCGCACATCCTGGTTCCAGGATGCTGAGAAGCAAGTCGCAAAATCAACTCCAGGAATCACCCCTTTGCCTGCATTCACTTTCCTGAAGGAGAAAACCCAAATGAAACAAGTAACCCCAAACGGACAAGCACCATGGAAAACCGGCCGAACCCTTGCGTCATGTTTTGTTCCTCGGCGCAGAAGCGACGAATTGTGGACTTCCAGGACCGCAATTCCGCGGCTGGTTCGCATGCAAGCCAAGGCCCTCGCCTTGGCGCCCATCGTTGTCACCGTGGGACCGTGGGGACAGCAATCCGTTCGAGCGCAAAACACCGGGCGCTTGCGGGAGCTGTCTCGAACAACCGGCAAGAGGTAGAGCGGCAGAGCTGTCCCGAGGCTGTGACTTGCCTCGTAGTGTCTAAGGTCTTTGCCTTGAAGAAACATGGCGTATTGCCCCTTTGGGCTCCCAGTCAACTGGACACCGGGGCAATTTCCCCTTGGTGCACACAATACCTGGACATTTGGGGTCAATCTGGTCGAAATCCAGCTCCGGCGAACCTGCAGTGCAAATAGCATCCCAGGACCAAAGTGAAGTGTCAGGTTGACAAGCACAAACGACATCTTGGCTTGTGCGAGAGATTGACAAGCAAGCAAGCTAGCCCAAACCCTTGTGCCTTCTTCACACTGAAGGATGCAGTTGCCGATGCCATCCATGTCATTGCACTCCAGATCCTGTGGAAGCGACTCCAACATGGATCAATAGTAAAGGCCGGGCCCAGTGGCACGGATTGCGCAAGAGCCCACGAAACGCTTCCCCCGGTGCGTGTGCGCGAGAGAGAGAGAGAGGAGAAAGACAGCAAATATACATGTATATGTATGCATATATATATATATGTATCTATCTCCCACTACCAGATTGTTAGGAGTAACCGTTCTCAAGTATCATGAATGAAGATGCAAACAAAGAGCCAAACACTTGCGTCAAGTCAGAATCCGGGTCAACAAACATATCCTGGCCATTTGTCACGAATGACTTGAGGTCAGCGCAGAGACAACGGCAACACTCAAGGACATCACGCGGCACCTCTTTTACAAAAAGAAACGATCAAGCCATGACTGCTTTTCCGGAATGTGTTGCACTGGGAAGACTCAATCGCGACAGAAAGCGAGCATGAGAAAGTGCTCAATAACCGCGTGAAATTCCAAAACTGCAAAGCCTCGTCAACGGATCGCTTCAATTCAGCACATCTGGAACTTGCAACTCCGACCATCTGCCTCTCATGGTCTACATCAAAGCCGAACAAGCCGAAGCGACCGCGACAGGAGCCAGGGCAAAAACAAATGTCAGGACAGTCGAAATGCTCCTCAGAAGAGAAACCAGGAATGGACTGACTAAAAGCAATGGTGAGAGCACAAGCCATATCACAACAAAAACTCCTGGAACAGATGGCGATGATTTTAAACAACATTGCTGTCTCAGGTCATGTCATGAAGGAAGATGTAACAGGGCTGGTGACTGGTTGCCTTGCACATCGTCTATACGGATATGTTTGGTGAGGTGAGCGGGTCCAAGTTTCACACCATCTCAGAGAGCCACGACTGTCTGAGATTCTCCATGCATATACCGACGAGGAACTTCACGAGCGTTCTGGTTGCTCTGCTGGCAGCCACAGGCACTAGCCGCACAAATGTGAGTGTTATCGGAGTTTTGGCACCGGAATGCCCAGGTCACCACTATCGCCATAGCGAATGTGGCGTTCTGCGTGTCTCTGACGCCACTAGCCGCAAGAAAGGCAAAATGGCCAGGTTCTGCGGCAATGAAGAATTTGTGCGTTGCCAGACCAGTCAGTATTTCTGTGGTGCGCATCCGCGCCATAGAGATGCTCAGCTGGTGGTCACCGTTCTGTGTTTTCCACTGACTTGACCTTCATGCAATCTTGCAGATCATGCTAGCATTTCAGCCCAAGACCCTTCTGAGACACATTCCATAGCGAGTGCGCAAAAGAGCCGTCACAACATATGTACCAGAAACAGACATCATCAGGACGCGTCATCTGTTTGACTCTTCCATACCAGCTCCCAGGGACATACGCGCGCTGTGACACGAGCAAGGTCCTAACCCCCTCAGTACGGGACACAGCAAACATACATGGACTCTGCACTCACACACTCACCCACTGGCACCCTCGCACCTGGGCCTCAGGCGTGCTTTGTGCGCGCACGTACGCAAACGCAGGCGGGCGCGCTGGGTTCTGGGGGCTCTGTGAATTCTAAGGTCTTTTAAGGGTACCCTGCCTTTTGAGCAAATGCCCTTCAAGACATTCAACCACCAAAAAGTTCTGGGTTAGCAACGGTTCACGAACTAATGATGCTGAAGCGGCGCGCTTCAAGAAGTGGGCGCGCTTCAAGAAAGTGGGCCCGCTCTAAATGGACGCAGGGTCGTTCTGTCAGTATGAAAGACACAAGGGCGAAGCAGAAAAAGCTGGGCAAAATTGAAAGGTATGTCTTGTCAGCAATGGAGGCCACCAAATCCGCACGCGAGATGTGCTGCAAGCATTCCAATGTCTCAATGACATGACCCAGCATAAGGTAGTGAAGCTGTAACCGGTGACCGATAAAAAGCACGTGATTGCGGCTTCCTGGAAAACTCTGCGAATATATATATATATATATATCGTCTCCCTCCAAAAAAAGGCAAAAAACACACACGCACACACACACACACACACCTAAACAGCCGAAGGAGGTTGCTCATCTTCGAGTACAACTTTCGAGTATAACTTTCGAGTACAACTTTCGGCTTGCAAGACACTTGGCTTTCCGGTAGAATCGAAACCGCTACAGAATCAACAAGAAGCACTTACAGCGAGAGAAACAGCGGGCCAAAAGGACATTGTATCACCCGCAGGTACACAGAGCTGATCAGGCTCTGCTTCCCGTGCAATCAGGTGGCTTCGTTGGACGTGGTTCCTGATTGCACGCCACGTCCCCCTGCTATGACTTCTGAAATGGTTCCAGAGTAGATCTGGAACTCGGCACACACACGCCCCCGTAGGGGCAAAGACCCCAACAGAAAACGAAACAGAGCGAGCCAAAACAAAAGAAAACAGAAAGGCCCCAAGTTGGGAATCCGCGGGCAAAACCCCAAACAAGAAACAAGAAAAACAAGGGAACCAGATTTAGGCTCACCGACGAGGGCAACAACCCTCAACAGCGCAAAAAACCGACCTAAACCTCGAAGACGACGAACGCCGCGAAGGTGAACGCCAGAAGAAGAGCAGGCCATCCCTAAACGGGCGAAGAGGAAGAACACGAGGTAGCGCGAACAAAAAAAAGGAGAAAAGGAGAGAGAGAAGAAAGAAAAGAAAAGAAAAGAAAAGAAAAGAAAAGAAAGAGACAAAAGAAAACCAAAAACAAGGGAACAGAGAAAAGAGAAAGAGAGCAAGAGAGCAAGATTGCGTATTTAGGGCGTCGCAACCCGCCCGAGAGAGAAGAAGAGGACGGGAGAGAAGAGGAGGAAGAAGGGGAGGAGGAAGAAGAAGAGGAAGAGGGAAGATGTGCGTATTTAGGGCGACGCATCCCGCCCAGAAAACAAGGAGGAAAAGGACCGCAACTCGAAGAAGAGGACGACGAATCCCGCACAGGGGCCTAGAGAAAGTACACCTGCAGCCAACGGCAAAGAAGAAGACGCCAAGCCAAACTGCGTGAGGGGAACGAGGAGCGCGAGCAAGAAGTCAGACTGGAAGAGGACGACGAGGAAAAAGGCAAACAGCCAGAAGACGGAGAAGCCATCCCTAAGCGGGCCAAGAGGAAGAAGACCAACACGCGGGTGACGAAAGGCACGAAAAAGAGACCGGGAGGAAGCAGAAGCCATCCCTAAACGGGCGAAGTGCCAGACGACGGACAAGCGGATGACGGGGGCGACGTTGGAGCAACCACAAGAACAAACACAAGAAAAATGGTTGACGCAGTCTTCCCTTTAGTGAAACCTCGCTTCTGCTTAAAGTGAAGTTCCGCTGGTGTAGTGATCGACGCCAATGTCAAAAAAAACGGCAATGCCGTCCCGGAGCCACACGATGGGTGCATCCGAGGGCCCCCCGAAACGGGGTGAACACACTTAAGCTCCCGAAGGAGGCTGCTCATCTTCGAGTACAACTTTCGAGTACAACTTTCGGCTTGCAAGACACTTGGCTTTCCGGTAGAATCGAAACCGCTACAGAATCAACAAGAAGCACTTACAGCGAGAGAAACAGCGGGCCAAAAGGACATTGTATCACTCGCAGGTACACAGAGCTGATCAGGCTCTGCTTCCCGTGCAATCAGGTAGCTTCGTTGGACGTGGTTCCTGATTGCACGCCACGTCTGCCTGCCATGACTTCCGAAATGGTTCCAGGGTAGATCTGGAACTCGGCACACACACACACACACGCCCCAGGAGAAGATTGACAGTATTTACAGTACTTTTGGACGATGTCCACCCCCTTTTCAGACACCCCACATTTGAGCACATTTGAATGTGACTGTAGCTGTGCAGAAAAGCTTTCACGCGCTTTAAAACACTTTTGGATCTAAGATTCAAGATTCAAGATTCCCAGGACTCTAGTTCTTCAATCTTGAATCCAATATGGGGCTCCCCAAAACGCTTTAAAGCTCTTTAAACCACTGTTGAATCTAAAATTCAAGATTCAAGATTTCCAGGACTTTGGATCTTGGATCCAGTATGGGGCCACCAAAACGCTTGAAAGCGCTTGAAAGCACTTTTGGATCTGAGATTCAAGATTCAAGATTGGGAGGAATGCCACAAACAAATGAGTGACAAAGTCTTAGTGAATCATCTGTCTGCAACCATTGGAAGATGAGCCCAACTTCCGGCAAGTTTTGGAGGGGGGGAAGTTGCATACATATATATATATATATACATATACATATGTATAAATTTGTCAAGCTGACATCCCCCCAGTTCTTCGCGCTTGAACTGCGTTTCAGCCTCTGTGCGTTTCATCAGGCCAAGGCGCCAAGATCGGAGGCGGCCGCGGAGTTCCCTGTCCGGCATTGCAGTCTCCACATTGACACGTCGCGGCTCATGAGTGTGTGTACTCATCTCATGCGAGGCTGAGTGAAGCGGGCCATTGAGGCTCATGACCTTCTCATGGCTCCCCTGATGGCCTTTTGCTACAAGCAGCCAGGCCTTGAGGTGCTCTGCAAGACCGTATAGAACCCCAGATTCAAACTTGGCCTCGAGCGATTTCGCTGCCATCTCGTCTCTGTGACACCCGAGAAAGCACCCTTTCTGGCGGCTGTAGCGGAATCTTTTGCTGTCAACCCTGAGAACTGGGTTTACGATGCGCAGCGCATCAAAAGGCCTTCGTTGTACCTTGGAAAACTCGCCTCTGCCAGGAGCGACTTACTTGACTTGTAAATTGGTCAGTGAACACTTGCAGAATCCATTTCTTCCTCTGCCTTGCCGTGCAAGCGCTCGACATTGTCATATTAAATGTGTCATCGCAACCATGATCAACCAGGGTACAAATCGCTCCCGAACAATGTGCGGCTCTGAAGCCAAGCAATGCATGCAGCTCAAATCTGATTCAAATAGAATATCGAGTTGTGTGAGATTGTTCTGGGCCAATGACAAGACCCTGTCAAGATCCTTAGCCCAAATAGGACATTGCGTACCACATTGCATACTCAAGTCAATGGAGCAGAAGAGGTCAATTCTACAGGCCAAAGCAGAGTTGGTGAATAAAGCATGATACAAATTCTGCCTCCGCAACGAGCAAGACACATAAATGGTGATACTGACTCTCGGAACGCACAGCACAACGGAGCCCCCAAAACAATGCAAGTGGGGGAAATTGGGGGGCTTGTAGAGCTTCCCTCAATTTACCCGCTGCTGAAATGCAGTCATGCCACAGGAGCTTTGCTGACCACTCCTTAGATTTAAGCTGCGAATGGGCACGTGGCTCACCCTGTCAGCATAGTAGTGAGCGCTTTCCATGTGTCAGGTCAAGTAGGATGCTCACAAGAGATACTTCTAAATTTGACTTCCTCCGAGCAATGATAGCAAGTGCCGCGCCATTGCGTGAAGTATCAGTTTCCCTGTCTCGGAATTGTCCGGTGCACAAAACCGATTCAGCCGCTGCGCGCGTCTCAGTCAAGGCACCATATGCTTGTATGCCCACGAGCGCAACAGCATAGCCAAGCCTCGTGCTAGGGTCGACAAAGGTAGTGTCCGACCAACCCAATGGCAACTGGCAGGACAGGAAACTGTGGAAATGTCAGCCAAACACTTAGACTTGGCACAGCTGGATGACAGCTGAAAGACACAGTAAGCGTCACTCATGCTAAGTGCTGCCAAAGTCACATTTGCATCGCTGACATTGAACTGCCCATAAGGATTACCTCAGCACATGGCCCAAAACAAGATCAAGCTGTCGTTGTTGCTCGACTACTGCGTGTAGTACAGGGCTCTCTACATTTCCATCTAAAATATCACCCCACCAAGTCGGGGAAACGAGGGATCCCTGTTTCCGGCACCCTTGCCGTGCCAACCGCTCAGCTCCATAGTCTAGTAGCAGCTCCCACAATGATCGAGATGTCCTGCACCCCAAGCTCAAAAATCCAACCGGGTCATGCAATCGGATCACAGCTTTGATCGCACAATTATTGAAGCCTTGATGCGAATGGACAAATATCCCTCGTTTCTCAATCTTTCTGTACTTTCATCAACTCTAGCCTCTGCCTCACTTTCACGCCTCATGCGCCTTGGCCTGACAACTGGCGAATGAATTCGGCTGCGATTCCTGGCTTCAAGCAAATGCACTCCCGGCCCTCCTTGACAATCCCTGCCAAGGCATAGACCAAGCCCGAAGAGAGCTGAATTGCCACATAGCTCGCAATGTTCAGCAAAAAAGCCTCAAGGCAGCGAAATGCTTCGCATTGGTCTTCAAATGCATTCGAGATGCCTCCCTTGTGAAGCTAACTGACAACAGCCCATCCATCACACGCTTCTAGACCGGCGGCAATGAGGGCGTTTGCGGCCAGGGCTGGCTCCCCAATGTCGTGGATGACCTCAAGTTCAAACAAGGCTGATCACAAAAGCCAAAGGTCAAGCTCATGTTTGCGAAAGAGAAGGTGGGAAAATATGAACCAGGCATGCCAATGACACAATGACAAGCGACAAGGCTCCCAAGCATTATGTTGAACCTGCAACTCCAAACAAACGTGCAGTGTGTTTCTTCGCCAGAATACCGCTAGACTGCAGCTAAGCTTCGTCCAGGGACACTGCATTTGCATCAGTGGCAAGGCCAATCATCCTGCAGCATGCATCGAATGGTAGAGCTTGACATTGATATTTGGTCAACAATTCACACCAAAACAATACAGTTTGAGTTATCAGCAAATCATCCCTTATCACAGCCACACGCCTTGCAACTTGTAAGCCTTTTCAGGCTGATCAGGCTGTCCTTTGTCAACCCAGCATCAAAGAATGGGCCAGGCTGAACAACTTTACGCCAAGCTGCAGCAAAATGAGCGAAGCAAATGGGGCAAAGACCATCACAGAGCTCAGCGGGTTCAGCTTGTAGCCTGACCTGAATCAGAACAATCAGAGGAGGCTGGAAGGGGCTGGAACTAGGTGGCCACACGACGTGAATCTATCAAAGGCGCAAGTGAAGGGCAACTTCCTTCAAGCAGCAGCAACAAGAAACCTTGCTTAAACAGATCAACACAAAACCACACATCACCTTCTAAATCGCATCTGATGATTTGTGCCACAGCGGTTCCTACTAACTTACAATTTCAGATCCAGAAAGCGACAAAGGATCAGCAGAATACAGCAGACAGCGTGAGCCAAGCGGCGATGACAGTAGAAGCTCAAGCCTTAGAGATCCAGCCAACTCCGCAGCCTTCTCAGACTCAACGTCACCCCAGTGCTCATTTGCAAAGGTCACGTACTGCATCTGTCTCTTGCACAACAAAGGGATAGACATAAATCTAGCATGAGCTTGCAGGTAGCACAGGCAAGACGGGCCAAGTTCAGGCACCGGCAGGTTGATTCGGAGTCCCTCGGAGAAGAGGGCTGTGCACTGCATTAGAAAGCCATACCTTGGCCGGAGCCCGATTCGCCCATGATCCTGATACTCAGAGTACTTGACATGTTCGCTTAAGTGAAGCGCCCATGTCCATATGAGTATGTGTCAAACTAGGTAGTTTCCCTAAGAGTCCCTTTTGAACCCCCTGCAAAGGGGTGCACACATTAGCCAGGTTAGCCATCAAGTACGCCCAAAACAGAAAAGTTCCAGCACTGCGTCAAAGTCCAAACAGGCAACAAATACCTACGCCAAGAAAGTCCAACATAGATATATATATATACAGATATATATATATATATATATATTATATATATATATATATGTATGTGGACATTAACTGAGATTATTGCATCAAAATGGACAAATGATCAAGAAGTGAATTCATCAATATCAATGTGAGGCTAGACTCAGGGTTCGGGCCAGTCATGTGATATCTGCCACACATGCTGAAATCGAGTCGGTAACATTTGATATTTGCCAAGGCTCACGACATCGAGTGAAAGAGGAGGGAGAACGCAATCAACAATGCTAAATGTACCAAAGCGGCCAAGCAGTCGTGGCACATGATCCAGGCATGAGAAAGCCAAGAGGCCAGCCAAATTCTAGTTCTCCTGCGCTGGTAATCATCAGGCCTCACAAACATCGAACCTCCAACTTCCTGTGCCTGTGGCATCATTGGGGTGGACCTCATGCTGCCATTGAGCTTCTGTGTCACCCCATTCGTTGACAAAACCACCAAAGCTCTGTGCGCGTCTCACAAGTCTCGGGCCAGCAGTGATCACAGCCAAGGTCTTTGCGCAGGGTGCTGACCACTTTTGAGTGCCCACCTTGCGAGTCGGGAGTGATGCCAAAGCAAAATTCACCGGATGAAAAGGAATCAAAGAGAATCCCACTTGACTCGCTCACACATCTGGCTTACCATCAGCAGAGTGCAAGACGCCCCTCACAACAAAGGAAAGATAGGCAATGACCAGGCCGGAAGCGCAAAAACAAGAGAGGGAGAGAGAGTGAGAGAGAGAGAGAGAGCAATCTGACATAGCTGAGACTTCCTTTCTTGCCAATAAACAGAAAAGCCTGCGATGGCAAGGCCGGGTTGGTATTATCACCCATACTGACAAAGCTCGGTCTCAGCAACCGACCAGGCAGCCCACCAGGTAGACTGTCCTCAGCAAGCCATTTCGAACCGAAAAAGGCTGTTGTACACCCTTGTAAGTTGTGGTGGTCCAAAGCGGCGTGATAAATCGGGGCTCCGTAAAAAGTAAAGTCCTCAAAAGGGATACCGTTCGAGCGAATATTGCCCTTGACATTGGAGAGGTGCATCCTGTGCCAAGGATGCCAAGACTTCTGTGCGGGGCAAGGTGGCCAATTAGCAGGGAGCAGAGGGAGGATTCCAGGCCCTACCTTTAGATTCAGGGACTCAGCTTGGGGCTCAAAGTTTCAGAGTTTCTTGGGCCCAGCGACGCCGGAGTCCAAGCTTTGATCATCTGGCAGAAGCTCACCGAGATGTACATCACCGCCTGAGCCCCAGAAGGCCAAAACACACCAAGCCTTGGCCATGTCGGACAGAACTCGCAGCCCACCCGGGCTTCATTGCCGTCCTCACCTGTCAATTCAAGCAACATGTTCTGCAGGCCTTTCCAGAAATATAGGTGGAAAACAACATTACACTCACACTGTTCCCTTTTGAGACTCCATCCTGCACGAAGAGGCACCCATACGCCCGTGGCCCCGGCGGTGTTGGCTGAGATGAGGCCGATGCACTGCACAGCTGCCACCGGCACGCCAATGCGCACAGCGGAAAAGAAGGTCAGAGCTGGCCGACCAGCCTTGCGAGGCAACACTTTCATGTCTTACCTGCGTTTAAGAGCCTTCCCAGTTCCCCCAAACCACATCCTCCGAGGTCGTAGTGCGGGTGTTCAACCACCGTATATAGCCACTACATAGGGGGTGCTCTGTGTTCTCTGATAGCGAATTGGGGGTTCGCAAAAACTATCCTAGAGCGTGCAAGCTTGGGGTGGGCCAGGATCCATGTCAGGATGTTGACGAACAATCCATAGTTTGTCTTTGCGGTTGCCAGTACAAGATCTATGTGCAAGGGTTGGTCCGGATCTGTGCATGTGCGGAATTCGAATACCGGATGTGCAACTGGGAGCTCCTTCTGGATATTGCGCAAAAAACGAATGAAAAGGCTCATCCAGAGTCGTCATGTAAGAAATGACAAGACCTAAATGGAAAAAGGCTCAGGCTCTTTGTGAGTCCACGCACTTGCGCGTCTTGGAATCAAAGCCGTCTCACGCCTTGTTGCTTTGGCAGTGCTCTAGCTTTACTGCCTGCTGCGCCTGTCCTCGCAGCGCAACAACAGCGACTACGTACATTGAAACATATTGGTTGCTGCGCTTCTTGCTTGGCATGGTTCTTTGCACCCCACATGAAAGCCATGCATCTTCACGTTTCCATATGGCAGAAAAGGGCTAAGTGGTATAGAGCCTTCACGGTTCATTGCAAATCACATGTCCGCATCTCAAAAATGAATCACAATCAAAACTCGGTATTAAGATGGTCTACCCAGACCTATGTAAACAATTATGGCGTACCCGGGTTTTGATTGTGACTCAGATCTTGAGAGGCTGCAACTTTTCGTGCTCTGATCTACCATGGTAGACACCCTTTCAAACAGCCCAACTAGACCACGGTTGGCCCGAAAGCATAACATCGCAAGCGAGGTCGGCCAAACGCTGCAGGATGCGTTCTTTTTCCCTACACGAAGCATTCGTGAAGCAAGCGCGAGACAGCGCCAGGCGGCTCATGGCCTGTTGGCTCACTGAGTGAAAGAAAAGCACGCGTCAGCCCGCGCGACGTGACCTTGCTGCGGAAGGCTGAGGCCACGGCAGCAATCCAGGCTGATGCCCTCGATGGCTGCCGCCCGGCTGCAAGCGCGAGTCCAAGGAGGGAAGAAACAGGAGCTGGGGCTGATGATGTCATGTTGGAAAGAAGCAAGCTGCCATCAATGCAAGCATGTTTCCAATTAGCGGAAAATGGCTGAAGCCGCTTCGATTTCGAACCAACGCAAACATGAATACGAGTGACAAAAAGCACTGGACAACCCGCAGTGGTATTTCAGCCACGCGCCACGACGCAGCCACTAGACCAAGCGTGTCATGGTCGTGATGGTCACTTGCGAGGAGTCAGCCAGGGCGCGGCCCGCGGCCGGCGCGCCTGCAACACAATGCGCAGAGGCCAAGCGCTGCACGCGAGGCATGCCCCTACAGTGGCGCAGGCTGCGACGCACGACCTGTTTTCCACTTGCTTCGTTGATCGCTTTCAAAAAGTATGACCGTCTGCATGATCAAAATCTTCGCAAAGGCAAGCAAAACCCGGCGCGCATCGGAGTTCCGCACGACAGCGTCTGTCCGAGCAGCGCCAGTGCGTCGCAAGCCTTAGCTGCCATCACTCCAGGAAGCGCACGTCACTTTTGACGGTGTGCTTGCAACCAACATCTCAGCCGTGCGCTTTTTTGAGGCCAACTCTGGCCTCATTCCCAGCAGGTGGCACACCATGTCTCTTTCTGCGACCACAGAGCGAACAACATCGTCATTCGCCCTGGCCATCCACTCGACATGGCAAGTCATAAGGTCTGTTTCGCAACCTTGAATCGGCTTTCCCACAAGCAAGCGCGGGGCGCCATCAGCCATGTTGAAGAGATGGCAGTTCTTGAAGTGGCAAAATGCCTCCACGGCAAAGGGCTTGGCGCCGTCAATCTCCGGAAATGGCACCACATGATGGTGGGAAGTTGCTCCGCGCAAGTTGCTCCGTGCACATTGCTCCCTGCAAGTGGCTCCCTGCAAGGGGGCAAGTTGCTCTGCGCAAATTGCTTCTTGCAAGTTGCTCCCTGCAAGTTGCTCTGTGCAAGCTGCTCTGCGCAAGTTGTTCTAGGCAAGGCGCTCTGCGCAAACTGGTCTGTGCAAGTTGCTCTGCGCAAGTTGCTCTGCGCAAACTGGTCTGTGCAAGTTGCTCTGCGCAAGTTGCTCTGCGCAAACTAATCTGTGCAACTTGCTCTGCGCAAGTTGCTCTGCGCAAGTTGCTTTATGCAAGTTGCTCCGCGCACCTTGCGAAGCCCGCCCGCGGACCAGGGGGGAATCGAACCCACGACCCGCTGGTCCCGGAAGCAGGCGCGCGAACCACGAGACAACTCCCGAGGACCACTTCGAACAACAAAAGACGCAAAAATCCTCGAGTTTGAACCTCGACCACGCCGATCCCCGCGCAGGGTCGCGCGGGAACCGCAGAAATCGTGAAAAACCTCAAGATTTTGCACCTCGACCACGCCGATCCCCGCAGAGGGTCGCTCGAGCATGTAAAAAATCGCAAAAAAACCTCGAATTTTTGCACCTCGAGCACGCCGATCCCCGCACAGGCTCGCGCGGGCATGTTAAAAATCGCAAAAAAAAAAACCTCGAGTTTTTGCACCTCGAGCACGCCGATCCCCGCACAGGCTCGCGCGGGCATGTTAAAAATCGCGAAAAAAAAACCTCGAGTTTTTGCACCTCGACCGCGCCAATCCCCGCAGAGGGTCGAGTTTCGTGAAGTGTCGTCGGCACTACCCCGCCGCCCTAAGAAGAGATTTTATCTCCTCGCAAGTCAATTGCACTTGATTCCTTGCACTTGCAACTTGCACTTGACTCCTTGCACTTGCAACTTGCACTTGACTCCATGCACTTGCAACTTGCACTTGACTCCTTGCACTTGCAACTTGCACTTGACTCCTTGCACTTGCAACTTGCACTTGACTCCATGCACTTGGCTCCTCGCAGCTTGCAATGACTCTCATGACTCCTTGCAATGACTCCTTGCAATGACTCCTTGCAATGACTCCTTGCAATGACTCCTTGCAATGACTCCTTGCAATGACTCCTTGCAATGACTCCTTGCAATGACTCCTTGCAATGACTCCTTGCCATGACTCCTTGCAATGACGCCTTGCCATGATTTTCATGATGATGATTCCTTGCAATGACACCTTGTAATGACTCTCATGAGAACAACTCAAGCGAACCCAGCGGAAGAACCCTTCGCCATGCTTTCGGGAAAAAGGATGTGCCGAAACTGCGTGGGGAATACGCAAAGAGACAAACCTCGCAATCGACGTCTCAAGCTTCAGGAAGTTTTGAAAGAGACCCCCTTTAGGATGGACATGCTTGATTTCCTGCCAAGTACTCACCGAGCAAGATGCAGGATTGCATTTGCTCGGCTGTTACAGCTGAATGAAAACATCTGACAGTGTTCATCATACCTAGCCATCCACAATCCACAGCTGAACCAAACCAAGTCAACAAACAGCTGCGAAACGCCTTCTCCGTTCTGCCATGATTTGTGACCAGGACACAAGTGTTAAGTTTCAACTTTTCGCCATGAACTCCCTTTCAGGGATGAGCCCTGACCCGCGAGCCTTCTCATCTCCCGTGGCAACCAAGGAGGGCTTCAGAAGGCGAAGCATTGAAACTAGCATGGTGCTTACCTCGGAATCGCCATGAAATCCCGCGAGCAGAACGATCTGCGATGTCAGCTTTGCAAAAGCCTTTCTTGCGGCCTGGGAAGAGAGAGGAAGCGGCACTCGAGGGCCTCCCTTTGAAGCCTAGCAGCAATCTGATGCCAGAAGGTCAGCCACACCGGATGTCTGAAGCCCTGCCTTGGGCGTGAAAAGAGCTGAAAGCCCCTCTCTGCTGCAACTCACAGTTTTGGACTGACAAGACCAGCGGAATCGACAAACATGTATTGCAACAGGCACGCCTGACAAAAATCAAAGCTCAACCATCAGAATGGCCCAGCTCCGTGACCATCCCAGCCGAGTCTCAACAAGGACGCGTTGAAGATGGTCATTGCTGCCTCCGTTGGGGTCACTGCTCGGGCAAACTTGTACATCTGCAGCAACAGCTATGGAAGTGGGTAGAATGCATCTGAAACCCTCATAGCAGCTCCCGTGATTGTTGGAGGGAGGGTATCTTGGAGCTAGCCCTGGCATTTTCTGACAAACCAAAACCCCGCGAATAGGGCAGGCACGCTCATGGCGATCCAGAAGGCCAACGCTGCCAATACTGGCAATGGTAGCATCGCCTCAATTGCGGGGTGGGAAAGCATGATTGAAATGTCATGTTGTGGCACAAAAAAATATTTATGAGAACGTGTTACACTGCTCCTCTAACAGTACTATGCACATTCCGCTGCGTCAGCTTTCAAAACGTCGTGGAAACGGATTTGACTATTGAGCTCCACGTCTGAACTGTTGGACTTCGAAAGAGCAAAGCGGCCATCTCAAAATGCAGCAATGGAAGCAAATACATTCCAATATATTCTTGCTACAATTTGGACCGAAATTAACGAGCAAAGGGGCAGGCTGATTTTTCTGCGCCAAGTTGCCATGACAGCTACAGAGCACGCGGACGTGCTGACGTGTCCACGGCGCCAGGGTGCTTCAAGGCGGACAAACAAAGCTATGTGCTCGGCTGAAACGCTATGCTTGAGTCTGGTCAAAGGCATGAGCAATCAGTGAGGCTATGCTTCTTGCATGTTGCGATTGATCGATGAATGTTCTGTCAGATTCTCGAGTGAAGACCTGTCCGATTTCCGAAATTCACACTGCTCCGTGTGTCCCTTTGTACTTTGACTGGGCCAGCTTCCTAAATCAGCAAGGCGCGGTCGAAAGCTTCACACCAACAACTCAAGTTCCAATTCTTGCTGCACAATGCAGCTGTGACGGCTGAGACGCCTTCACGCTGTGATTGGTGCTCTGCTGGATCAACACAAGCTCCGGTTTCAAACAACCCTGCCAGAATTGCCAAGAGAACAAATTCCGCCATGGCGAAAATATGTCAGAGAAGGGAGCCTTAAGTCATGCCGCGCACACGGAGAAGCCCCCGAAGCTGTGAGCCCTGAAAAAACCATGCTGGAATAGCGAAGCCACAAAAATCAGGCACGACGAGCGAAAATTGCGGATTTGGATGCCACAAATGCCACGTGATTCAACAAGGTTCTACACAAAACAGTGGCCAACAGGAATCTGCGAAGGACCGAGGGCGCCGGCAGCAGGTAGCACCCCACAATGAGGGAATAGCAAACCGGGTTGAAAGCGAGTACGTGATGCAACTGTCAACGCTATTCAGCTGGCCGCCTACGAGCAGGGAATCCACGCCGTCTGGTGCACAAGGCAGCTTTGCACATCAAGGTTTGTTGTGTTGAAGGCCGCATGGCATGCTGTTGCGCCTTCGACTCCCACCAATAGCCTAAAACTTGCTTGAAACATGATTCATGACAGTTCCATGGTCAGCCAGCAACGCAACTCCGATTCCATGTAAACGTGCACCTCTCCTACCGCGAAACAACCTTCACAAGACTCCATGTTGCTAAAGAACTGAACGCCAACTAAGTCAGCATCAGCAGCGTCGGTTCCGAGGCACAAAGGAAACTGGGGCCAGAAGGGTGTCGCCACCAGTGCCAATAGACGCTACTCATTTATATAGCAGTTTCGTTCTCTCCACCTGCGTGGGCACAGCCCAGGTGTTTCTTACTGTTTGCAGCAATGGGCAAGTCAAAATATGTTTTTACCTGGCACGCACCGTCTGCAAAGACGGCTCCAATGCACCCTTTGTTTTTTGTGTTTACCTCGCTGTCAATGTCTGTGAAGACGGTCAGCTATGTGCGATGCAAACAAAAAAAAGTACCACGGCCCCAGCAGCAGCAAAACCAGAGCGCCGACCATCAAGCGGAGCCAAGCAAGAAATATCCCAAACAAAAAAAGAACTTGTGGCGATTGTTTCCCCTATGTGACCTTCAGCATAGCCACCTGTCGACTAAACGGAGAGTCCTCGTGCTACAAACAAACTTCAAGAAAGCAACAGGCAACTTGTGTTGGCTCTGTTATTGGTTCTGCCTTTGGTGCTTCTTCTTCTTCAATTGGTGGTAATTCACTTACTGGTACGTCTGCTTCAATTGCATTAGTAATTCCAGGTTCGACTTCTGACATATATAATATATTATATATTTTGTCTATATTATTTATATATTTTGTCTATATGGACAAATTGAGAAATATTAATATGAATAATTTAATATTAATATTAATAGTTTAATCTTAATAATTTAATATTAATATTAATAATTAGGGGTTTATTCAAATATCTAATTGAAACAAAATGCTAAAGGAAATGGGAACGCCGTGAAAATCAATTAATTCGTTTCTTGAAGTTGTTATTCTAAAGTGTAGTCTCTTAATATTTTTACCGCCTACATCAATAAAATCTGCATATATGGGCGCTGTAAAATCTGGTATAACTCCGCCAAGTTGTTGATTGATTTGAACTTTTTTAATTACTGAACTGCTGAAATTATTAGGTGCTGAATATTTATAATCGCTTAATTGAGGACAATTTATGCATATATTCTGAAAAGGAACTGAATTAAAGTATCCACTTAACCAAGATGACGCAGGATCATAGGCAATATAATTACTTAATAAATAATTAATAGACTTTGGTCTCAGGTTGTCATATTCAAACTGTCCTCTGTTCCATTTGTCATTTACATAAGTTTCTAGTTCTTCGTCTGTAGGTATTTTGATTTTGTAATTTAGAGGGTCATTTAATTTAAGTTCCATTTTGCGTTCGCTTTGTCCATATACTGTTAAGAATAAGTCAGGTACAATATCATTAAATGCCGTGTTTAATTCCGTTTGTATTTTGTATGATAATTGATTAGCATAATACATTTCACCGGATACATCAACGGCAGTGCTTCTCAATAATACATTGGAACTAGTATACAACATAATATAGAATCTTTCATAAAAACCTTTCTCTGTTGTATAAAACGGAGTGCTGAATGAACACTCTGTCACGAACATTTTTGTTCTTGGCGGAATTTCAAAGTTTTGATCAAGTTCTATAATAAAGTCACTGGTAGAATTGCTTTCTTGCAATCTGTAGGCACTATCAACATAGATTTTTTATATGTTAATCTGACACTCATAAATATAATACACAATAGAAATTATAATATAATTATTATTATATGATTGGACGACAATTATTATGTGCTATTGAAGGCAGATCACCTACACAAATGATGGCAGGTGTAGCAAGTGATAAAGCATATACTACAGGTAAGGATTTAATAGAAGATGAATTTTTTTAACCATAAAAAGAAATTGGAAGACAAAGTAGGAGGTTTCAATAAACATTTTGATAAGCAGATAATGAAACATAAAACACGATACGCTGAAGAGATTAATGTTCAAAATAAAAATAAAATTGATGATGTTAAAGGGTTAGACGCCGCGTATTCAAATATACATGGAATAACAAGAATAGGCAACACTTTATATATTGGTGGTACTGGTGCTAAAACGGGACTAAATCACAAAGTCAATGATGTAATTGCAGATTTGTTTTTTATTCCTACTCATAATGTTCAATGAAGCGAAAGATATAAAGACGCAATGGAAGAATTAAGGAAAAATCCAGATGTCGATAGACTCGTTGGACATAGTCTCGGCAGTTCCGTTGTTCAAGAAATCAACAACAGACACGGAAACAGTTATGCTACTACTGTTTATTCATCACCTTTTGTATCAGGAATTAATCAACAGAAAAACCCGCGACACCTACGTAGAAATCGTGGAGACCCTATAGCAATGTTCGATGACGCGGCAATAACTGGAGAAATAGAAAGCAATAATTTATTAGATAAACACAGTTTCAATAATTGGACAGGACAAGGTATGACTGAAATAAACCCTACTACGAACATTTCTAATGGATTCAACCCGAATGATAATTCGGGTTAAATGCTTCGCGTTTCAACCCTAATTCAACACCAGAACAATAAAATATCAATAATATTAATAATGTATAGAAACAAAGATAAACAAAACAAAATTCCATTAGAGAAGAAACTGACAAAAGAACCTACAAAATACGATAAACAATATAAGAATTTAGATTATGATACTATAAAAGATATAGTTGATACAAAAAACAATTATTTAATAAATACTATAAAAAATGCAACTTCAAATAATTCTACTACAATGCTTCCACATAAGAAAAATATAAATAATAAAAAATAAAATCTAAGTTTATCATATATAAGTAATGGATAATATAATTGCAGAAAGTGAAACTACAATGATTAACTCGTTAAATTTTGGACTTCCAGAAACAGCACAATACATCACAGACAGAAGACACGTTAATTATTTTCCATCAGGCAGTAATGTCTATAATCCAAATGCAGGAACAAAATATTAGATTTCATATATCAGGAGAAGACAACACATATATTGATTTATCTTCTATTCGTTTATTTGCTAATCTTCAAAACACCGACGGAACACGAAGTCATTTTTTACGACCGTTAGGTAATTTATCATCCTTCTTCAGTCGGTATAGATGCACAGTAGGCGGACAACAGGTTCAGGATATTATTGAATACAATAGGCATTGTGAATTGTATAATTCTTTTAAAAGTCAAGATGCTAGAGATATGGACGATTTAGAAAGTAGCGCTAATCCTCGTTGGGATGATGACTGGCGACATACTTATGCTACTGGACTGGCAGAAATGTTAGATGTCAATAAAAGAACTGATCCCGGTACTGCCGACCCCGAGGCAGTTACGTTTGGAGCAACGAAAGACCATAACAATTGGGGAGATTTAACAGCACGATATACTCGCCATTCAGTAGCAGGAATTCCCGGCGCTAATGGTTATATGAGATTAGGACATAAACCAGTATGCGGATTGTTAGAAAGCAATTATTATTTGCCTCTTCGTTATGCTCCACTTGAACTGGAATTTACAATTGTATCAGACGAACATGCACCAGTTATTGCACCCTTTACTAAAACAGATGACAATGTTCATATTGATGCCAACGGTTATTATTTCACAACTGGAGACACCTCAACACTGTGGGAATTGAATAACATAATCATTCGGGCCGAGGTAATTCAACTGGACAATACGGTCAACAATAATATAGTAAAACATTTGTTAGAGGGTCAAAGTTTGAAATTAGTATTTCCAATGTATCACACTATGACGCAATCATTCAACGCGGCAGGAACTGAAATTAATATGAACATTGTTAAATCCGCTTCTAAATTAAATGGTTGTTTTATTACTCTCTATCGCCCACCAAGAGCAGGTGTAGATGCTGATAATAATAATTACTACAGACACGATAATTATATTTATAAGAGATGGAACTATTTTTACAATCCTATGATTAATTCTCGTATTTTTGATGGTGCTGACCCTGATGGTGCTGGGCGCGAGCGTTTCCAAGGTAAAGGTTTTCAAGATAAAGATTTAAATTTAACGTGGCAATTACAAATCAACAACAAGAAATATCCAGAGTTTGAATGTCAATCAATGGCAGAAACTGCATATTATTTAAGACGAACATTACAATATTTGAACCCTGACC